TAGAATATTGACATACCTCTAGTAAAGCTACTCATTGACCTTAAGTAGGCACTGTCGTGAATTGGATTTTTTCTTGTACCACACTATTATTATTATTTTTTGCATTTATATAGTGCCAACATATTCCGTAGTGCTTTACAATATAGGACCCTGCTCAAACAAGCTTATAGTCTATGGGCTAACTAAAATATTGGTTATGCTAATCCTAAAAAAACCTTATTTATTCTTTCTTCTAAGGACACACGTAGTTTGATATAATGTACCCATTGTTGGTGAACTGCAACTCCTATATAGGGGGGAGGGGGGGGAAACACAAAAATAAAGGCAGTGGGCAAGGACCGCTGAGGATATATTTTTGACTACTCGTGGTCTGCTCCATATATTCTGCTGAGCCAAGTCTACCACTTGGCTGTATCCAAGTTAAGGTAATCAGCTGTTTGCTTTATATAGCTTTTATCGTTACCTCCAAGAAGCCAGTGGAATGCAGATCAGTGGATTTCTGCACACTATTCCTGGCTGCCTCAGTTGCCCCCATGTCACTGCTTAATTCTAATGCATAACTTGCACATTCCAAGAGTCTGCTAATGTCATAAGAACCTTCCCTCACAAGAACTTTAATTTTTTTTAAATCTTCTGTCTGGCATCACATCCACACAGGCAGACAGATCAGGAAAAAAACTGAGTCATTTTAATCTTACACCTTTCAGAGCCTATTTCATCACATTGAGATAAATAGTTAATTTGTTTGAAGGATAATTTTGTTTAAATAATACAAATTTAGATTAACTTGCTGTACTGTGGCTATCACTGTACATATCACCCGGTTTAGTGCACCGGGTTATGTTGAGCTCTGGCTGAGTAAAAAAAAAACTCAGGTAGAACTGATCTAGGCACACTAGAACTCTGGGTTGGCTGTTTGACCACTCTGAGAGGCGGATGTAGAATTCTGAGTGGCTGGAGTATGTTTATGGAATGTGTTTGTGCTTAGTGTCCCTTTAAATCAGATATGCCTGTCTGAAGTCATCAGTACAGATGCATTGTTTATTAAAATGATCTGTTGTGGTTTGAGCACAATATGTTAAATGCATAATGCAAGGGCAGTGTACTGGCATCTGGCACACAATGACACTTATTCACTAACTAGTAAAATGTAGTGAATAAAAAAAAAACATTTGTAAAATGTAGGCCTCTATACCAAAGCCAAAACATTTGCATTACCCCCTCCCCCCAAATTCACAAAATCCTGTTTAGTGAATAAATTCCACTGTGTTGACTGTACACTACCAAGTGTAGTGCACTCTCGTCTGGCACAGAGTGGGTTAAATGTGCAATATCAGTATATTTTACCCATGTCTGGAATCCGAAGGGTTAAATGTGCTCCCGAGCCACAATAGAGCTGTACTGCTGCTGAATCCTTTCTATTTTAGGCCTTGAAAGTCAATATAGATGATATTTGATGACACTCTGCTTGTTTATCTGGCTATGTAGTTCACCTTGAGCTGTCCTTCACAGCCGGTTCATTCAGCTCCCTCACACTCCTCCTTCTTGCTCTCAGACTGCAGTGCTACATAGGCATAATACACCATTTCTGCAAAATAGCTGGGTTTCTGCTCTCAAATCTATTATATTGGAGACGTGTGTTCACATCGTAATTTAGAATACGGTAATCATTAAAACATCCCTGATAAACAAACAAATTTTAAAGCAAACTGCAAATAAGCATGGTGATTAGGGTGTGGGTCATTTATTGCCCCTTTTTTTTGGCCTGCAATTCAGTTGTATACACTGAGTTTTAACTAAACGCACCCTTTCCTTATTTATTTATTTTATTTTCTCCAGACTCTGTTTACTATCAATGCATGTACACCACAACATCTGATGTGTCCAGTGCTAGACGTGTGTTACAAATTTTGTAAAGCAATATTGCGTGGAAATTGGCGTTTGAGAACATGCCTTGCAATATGGAAAAATTAAACGGAGTCACAATTAGCAAAACTGTGGTCGGAAAGCACTAAGAGACATTGGCTATAGAAGCGTTTTCTTCCGGAATGAATAGTCTCTAAAGTTGTTGTACCTTGATCTGTACAAATATGTATCCTGATTATTAATGTTCTTCAAACGGATGTTGAATTGAAAGGCATTTTTCTTTAGAGGCGCCACACTGCTGATTTGGTTGTTATTCTTAAGTAATCTGTTTTCTATTAATTGTACGTCCTGCGTTTCAAATGGCCAGAGGAACAAATATTTTATTAATATGTTGCGGTTGGAGGGTGAGGTATTAGTGAGCATTTTAGGACTATATAAATTAGTGATTTGCAATTATCCATGTAGGAGTTATTCACATTAAAACACAGTGTTTTATTTACTGCGAAAATTGTATGAACATTTACTGCTTGTTTAACACACATCACTGGCATGTATAAAAGAGGGTTGTAGGGGAAGTGTTATAAAAGTGGCGCAGTCCCCATTGAAACATTGTATGGATTTAGTGATTGCTACGGCATGCCCTTGGTAAGAGGTTAGTCAGAGCGCAAGTCTTTATTTTGCATAAATTTAAAAGGATCTTGGACAAAGTGCAAAGAAGCAAACTTCTGAGCAGCAGTAGTTGCACGCATTTCGCCTTAGGACTTACTCCTATACCCATTTAGGTGAAGCGCGTAAGGCTATAGCAAAGAGTTCTTGTTTGTTTGTTTTTTGTTCTTGCACCATGTCAAGGGTTCTTTTATTGGATATGATGTAAAGGATTTACATTTCCCAGCTGAGCTTTTGTTTGTTTGTAACTACTGTATATTTTAGAACTCGTGGTGTAAGGGGCAGGAGTTGTGCCAAGTTCCAAATCAATTCAAGGCTTTAGCCCTCAATAGAATGTGATGACCTCCCTTCAAGACTGCACCCAAGGCAAGCCCTAATGCCACACTGTTGCCTGTTAACCTCTGCACTTCTGAATTCCCCACAATAAATTCTGTCTGCTGCAGGCCACGCTAACAGTATAATGGAGGTGGGCTGCTGTGTGATCACTTATTAAACTCCTCCTAGCAGTCAAGTGAGATCAGACCTAGTAGCCTGGTAAACACTAGTACTGTCACAACATCTGGAGCCAAGCCCCAAAGTCACCCCTTAACAATGCCTTTGTTGAGGCGTTGAGTTTGTTACTGAGCTGATACTGGTTGGTGTACATATGACTATTTTAAATTATATATTGAAAAAAAAAAAAAAAAAATCTTGCTCCCAATTTAAGTCACAGTGCTTGCTATAGATTCCACCAGATACTGCACATATAAGGAACCGATCAGCCTATAAGAATGCTCAAATAGCTCTGGGGCTTTTCATAGTCCCAACATTGGGACCATGCACAGCTGGACTTCGTAAGGAGAGCAGGGGTTTCTGGAAGTTGTAGCTCAGTTATCAGCCTTTTAATATAGAAACTGTGCTTCTTGATGGCATGAAACTCTGTCTTATTGGAGAAATGCTACAAGTTGGAAGGAGGAACAGAAAGCTGGAACCTCATGTTCCACAGTACAGTAATCTCCAAAGAAGTTGTAGTTTGGATTTTAGAGCCCTTGACACCCATTTTAATAGGTATAATCATGTGCGATGAGCTAATCAGGGCTTAATATTGACATTCGTCAGCTCTCTTCGTTTGGTCAGTACCTTTAAAACATGGACCGCTCATTGAATATTAGTTGGACGGCGACTGAGACACTCATAAGAACATTGCTTTAACTGTTCCAAGTGTAGAATTCATTCGATATTTGAACATTAGAATTTTAGAGAGTGTCCAGCAATTGGATCTTTCCTTTTGGATCATAAATGGTTACACCTCATTCAGTTTTTTAATTGCGGGTGTTACGGTTTCTTTTAATACAGAAGCACATTTTCTGTAAGCCTTGTGATCTCTGTAATTTGGGAGTAATTTGCCTTTCTCTTTGGGAGGCTCTGTTCACCTCTGGTTGGCAGTTGTAGTACAGATCCTCCCCCTGCCTGTAAATGGAGGAGCAGTTTGATCACAATGCCCCTCTATATGAAAAAGACACATGCAGTGCACAGAGAAGTTAATAAGGATAATCTGATTATCTCACTTTGAAATACAACTCCTACTCAGAAACTGCTGAATTACATATTCAATCTTTCCTGTGTGTGTTTGTGTCATGTGTTGTGCACACTGCATTACTCCTTACATTAGCAAAATTCTATTTTAAGGACTGTTGTATAATGAAACCATACGTTTTAAATAATATATATTTTTTTTTTTATTATTTTGCTTTTTTCTGACACAGTGTGCAGGCATATTACGCTAGTTCTTGACTGCTTTAATTTTAATTAACGCTCGTGTTATTGTAGTCCACTCAAATCTGTGGGGTTTATTTACCAAACAATAAGCTTTCAAAAGAGCCAAAGTAGAACATTATATTAGACTTTGCTAAACTTGAAAAGCAGAAAATGTACCATTGATCATATTTATTGCCTAAGTTATGCAACTCTGTTAATTTATCCAGAACAAAACTCAACGAACAGGATCTAGACTTAACATTTCTATCACATATGTCATTCACTTCAATGATGGATGTCTATTTAATTTGGCAATGTTTACAGTAACCCAGCAATTTTATTTTTTTCCAGTATATTTTTATGTAGTTATATGCATAGTTTATTTTTACACAAATACTTTGTGTCAAGAATAATTGATCCAGTAATGGTAAATTTAAGTGTTCTTTTCACCAATGGCTGGAATGCCCTGTGACGGACATTATTGTTCTAGGCCTGTTAAGAACAGTTAGGCGTTTTTCTCGCTTCAGTTTTTCACCACTAAACCCCATTGTCTCGTTGCGCAGTACATCCTCTGTACGTCTTTCCTGCAGATGTTAAAATTCATGCCGTTTTTTTTTCTCCCAAAGGACATCCACTAATTAATAATTGTCTATTTCTCTCCCTGCAGGATCGGAGCCGAATGTATGACAGTCTGAATATGCACTCACTGGAAAACTCGCTCATTGAAATAATGAGAGCAGAGCATGACCCTCTGAAAGGTAACGAGAACAAAAAAAATGTCTAAAGCAAATCTAAGATCAATGGCCAATTTATTAGGCACACATTCTTGTTACTGTAAATAACCAAGCAGGTATTTCAACATGTGCAAAAACGTTTGCAGACCTGGTCCAAATTTTTAACTTGCAAACGGTAGAATATGTATTATGTGTGGGATTTATAATTGTCATTGCCAGATGTTGAGAGTACAGAAAGAGCTGTCTTTCACTGAATTACAGGCGCTATAGTCTATTTTAAATTTTTTTTATTTCTACAAATAACCATTACTTGCAACAGTACTGGCTATCTTTGAATGTACGATGTGCCAAACTTTGAATGACATTGGCTATGGAGTCATGATGATGAGGCTACAGTGAGTGTGTGATCACCACGTAGTGTGACTTGCAGGTGTTGGGGTCATTGTGAACAGTGTGAATCCATTATTCCATCTTATCTGGTGCCATTCCTACAGGTTGGTGTTGTCATCTCAATAACATATGAGTGTTTAGCACAGCATATAAAAGGACTGTGCAGAGTTGATTTCACAAACCTTGCATAAATCTAGGCTGATACCACAATTATGACTGTGACTTCATTTGAATAGCTCTGTAGATCCAGTGCTCAGTCTAACAAGTGCTAACAGGAATCGGGCAGCAAAAGTGGGTGCTGACAAAGATTGCTAGGACTGTGGGAGGCAATTGAGTCAATATGACCCTGTGTCAAATTAATGCAACTCCAAAGGCAAACGCCATGCTGTGAAATACTTGAATGCTGTTCCTAATAAAGTGGCGATTGTGTGTTGTCTTGAGGTATTTTCTTCTGAATGTAAAATCTAATTTCAAAATCCTTGGCTGTGGCATGCATTGAATGATTATACCAACACAGCTCAAAATTGCACTAGCCATTGGTGAGTGAAAATTCACCACTGTAGAGTAGATATTCAACCCAGGCCTGTAGTGACGATTATTTTTTAAAACCTAGCTAGTGGCATAGGACTTGAACATTTTGAGCCCTGACATTATCCGCATACCATATACATGATTAAAGGGCTTTCCTTGTGAAGTAACATGCGGTAACTTAAATATGTGTGCTCCAATTTCACATCATTAATAATATCCACCAATACAGAGCCACGCAAAGCATTACATGGCAGAGGTTTATCCAGACTTGCCTTATCTGTGGACTTTTGAAACCCTCTCTGGCATAGCAATGTGATAATCTAGAAATATTCTTACATTTAGTTAAGTGTGGCAAATTCTCACTGTATTAAAGTGTAGTGAAGCATAGCTATTATATGGATCTGAAATGACAGAAAAGGAGCTGTTGACAATTGAATTCAAATACAAGTATGGAAAAGACAGAAGTTATCTCCCCTGTGCAGCTACTAGAGGAGTAATCTAGTCTTAAATAGGATGGAACCTCAGCCTAGATTATTCCTCTAGTGGCTGCATAGGGGTGGGCAAGCCATGCGGGACATGACCTTCACTTTCAATGCATTATATAGGTAAGGCGGTAATAGAAAAATAAAAAAATATTTGTTACTTCAGCTGCTGGTAATTCACAGGCAAGCTTCTTAAAGGTCCTACCTGAAGAAGACAAAGCCACCAATCAGAAGCCTCTAAATCTGTTTTTTGGGTCTGTTTTTATCCCATAAACGCTGCCCAGCAGGAGTAATTTATGGGCTATGGAGCTTCACACATTAGATCTGATGAAAGAACTTCTGTTTTATGGGAATGGGTCTCTGCACAGAGTTTGCCTTCACAGCTTTCTTTTGGACTTTCAAAAACTGCCAGGAGTGTTGTAAACTTGACATTTGGGCACCCATGCAGCATCTACATGCTACAGATATACTTGTATCTGCAATACTTTTATCACTTCTTCCTTCCTACTCTTTGAAGTCACAGGCAAAATAATAATAAATACTAATCTGCAGTATTTGCAAATTACTTCCGTTATGCACCTGTTCTGTGGCATTTTTGGTGCCTAAAATACCCCCTTTAAAGGAAAAGTTTACAATGAACTGCCCTACTACCTCGCAAATGCTTGGTAAGAATGCTATAACATGGGTAGTTAGTGGCTCACTGAACTTTGCTGCTTAGGTGGTTAGTTCTAGATTGTAGTTTCATTTTTGTGTAGGGAGACGGGCTGTAATGAATTGGAATTCAAAAGTGTTTTTAAACTGTGAAATGAGTCATTCTGATATGTGTGCTTCCTTCTTGTTCTCACGTTTATAGTTTTATTATGACCGGTTTTGTTTTTTTCCCTTGAAACTGTTAGCACTAAAGCCTTAGGGCAGATATGAGTAAACTTTGACTCTGCATTGATGAGTTCTCACTCCCTTCGTATTAATGCAAACTAAATGGCTGGCTGATTATTGGTGGAAACTTGCTTAATAGCTGTAATGCTATGTTTTAGAAGAATTGACACACACCCATACCAATACTTGTAACCTGGAAACCTGTTGCTAAACGAGCATGCTTATTACTGCCGTGCCTGTGCGATTGTCATTAAACAATGTAAGAGAAATGGCTACATCCAAACACATTATGTGGGGCAAAGAAAGAGTTTCAACTTTAAAGGGAGATTTAATGGCGTCCTAGAACTTTGGTTCCCAAATCACGTGCCACAGGACATGGATGGTCCAGGTTTTTGTCAGTATACCCGTCAAACCACAGTGGGAAATGCCTGAAGACTGGACTGTCAATGTTCCCTGAGGACCGGGTCAGAAATTGTGGACTAAGCATGAAACCAGAAACACACTTATGAGTCTCCCTGCCCATATTTTAAAGGGACACTCTAAGCACCATAATCACTTTCACTCATTGATGTGGTTATGGCAACCATAGTACTTGGTTACCACTCACCCACTGAGCTATGTACAGTAACATACCTCCTTCTTTTACTCCAAGAGTCTAATATCCCGCTGCTGTCGTTTATCGTAATTAGATTTGACACATGATGTCATTAGCTGTGTTTTTAAGTCCAGTCAACTTTGATTTAGATGTAAAAATGCAGCAAACCTCTTTGCTTAAAACTTTTCATTTATTTATTTTTCTATAATTGCTTTGAGGTTTCAGACATACAGAGTGGATACACTGTATAAGAGAAGCCGCCATATTCTTTTAAAAGGGGATTAAAAACTATGATTTAAAACAAATAAAGAACAAAACAAAAACAAGAGGATAAGCTTTTAAGGTGGCAGACCAAACATATTTACAGCGTTGATCACTTTAATTATCACACCGGCTGAGTGACATACTTCTGTTGTAAGTCATTGCCGGAGAGATTTGTACATTCAGGCCAGCTAATGGGAAGACACCCCAGGAGATGCCAGTCCAATAGTAGCCCTTTGTCTAACTGAACACTAATCCTATTACTAGAAAATACTTAAATATAACGTTGGTAATCAATGTTGGCGGCTGAGTATACTCTAATAGGATTAGATTGCCTCCTGATACAAACCCTCAATTCGCTTACCTTTTAACTTGCTTGTCTGATCTTTAAACTGTTCGCATTGTGTACTAAATCTGGGGTGTCCATCTCCCTTTTGCGAATCATAATCCTTCTTGAGTTGTAGGATTTCTCTATTTAACATGTAGTCAAGCACTTCATGTATACATCTCCCGGCATTCCCACAGCCCCCTGGTGATTTTCAAGAAAACATTAACTTCACCTTTAATTCTCTATGTAGCCAGTCACACTAATAGCATTTTCATAAAACACTAGTTTTTAATAGTTGCTCTTTGGGATGTGTTAAACCCCCCCGCCCCCTCTCAATACAGTCTATCAACCAGGCCTGACCTCACTACCCCTCACCATAGAAAGATGGTTGGCAGGCAGAACTGACTGAAGGGAGGACAGGCACGAAGCGAGGTGGGGGTGTCATTGGCTGTCTGGTGCTAGGACGCTGTTCTTACTGGTGTCAAATACCAGTTTCGCAGAGACTTGTCATTAACTAGCCAGGAACTTAGTATACGGCTGACTAATCATTCATTTCTGTACGTGTAGCATTTCATAGCAACACTCTGCACATATGGACTCCAGGTTCCATGACCACTTCAAATCAGTGAAGTGCTTGTTGTGTTTTTAGTCACCCTTTCAAGCTGCAATGTCACTTCAGAATTTTCCTAAGAATAAAATATTGGTGCAAAAGGAATGCTGTTGAACATTTACACAATATCATTGAAGTCTAAGGATGGCTAAATAATCCAGGAGCGCACTTGTTGGAATTGTACCCTTTTGCATTATCTGAGCTTCATGCTCCAATGGTTTGAGATAGAATTATGAGCAAAGCACTCAAAAATCCTTTGCACCATTAAAACGGAGTGTCAGTGGATATGGTTCTAAAAATACGTACTCCTTCGATCTTGTTTTAAGCACTAGTTGGTGTGGAACCCTTAAGGCATTGCTGTCTGATAACACATCAAATCCATTCTCCTCCCCTTCCCCCCCCCCACTTTAAATTACTTATTTCTTTGGGCTGATTTCCTGTTGTCGGGGGTGTCTGTAGTAAGAGCAGACAGAGGTTTACCCTTACTTTGCAATTATGAATTCTTTCACCGTCTTTGAAAATGATTCAGTTGCGTTAATGTGGGCGTTGAACTGAAAGTCTTTACACCCTCTTTAAATTAATACCTCTTCTGATTTCTAGTTTATAGCTTCTTATTTCAAAGATATTTTCCTAAATGGACTAGGTGCGAGTCTGAATTCTAATTGTGCCCTATTGTATGTATGTAATTATTTTGTAATTGTGGTGTCAGCTTAAATGGGCAGTAAAAGCCAATATGCTTTTTTTTTTTTTTTCACACTTCTCCAGTGGGATGTATAGTCACTCTTGGCAGCCACCAAGTTGTATGAAGGATAAATTAATCTGAAGACAATTCTGATTAATGTCCATTATATGATATTTTGGTGGTCTGTAAGAAGTAGAAGGTTGCTGCCCTTCTATTAGGTGGGCACACATGATTGTAAGCTCTTGTTGTGTTGCACTTGCTTGTCTATCTTGTCCACCCATTGAATAGCTGTGCAGTATGTGTGCACTTTATGAGTAATAATTATAGTCTGTATTTCATTGGCAGTGTGTTTGTGTACAGGGAAACCAGTTTTCTGGTTTTCAGGCTCCGTAAATACTAGTGTCAAAAACCATAGGCAGTCACTAGTAGTCTCAGAAACCACACTGTTTTCATTTGCAAAGCTTGAGGGGCAGCACATGTGCCCAACAATCACTTCATAAGATATGTCACCTCTGTTTAAAAAAAACCAAAAAAAACCCATGTTTTATTTTTGTGTTTTTTTGCCCTTTAATGACGGTATCATGGAATAATTGCAGACAAGCAGTTCAATAATTTAACCGAGGCTGTTTTAATATTTTTTTTTTTAAATTCCATTTTTGTGTGTGGGGATTAAATATAATTAGCAACTTTAACTTCACATTGTTATATATGGCCCTGAGTGAAATTTCACAAGTTTTTGTTAAAGTTAATTTCATGCTGAATAGCTACCGCCAACATTTGCACAGCCAAAAGAGTCTGGGGTTTGCTTCTTTTTTGACCTTACGGGAAGAGTTAAACTCTGCCATGAATCTTCGATCTTCATTCCTGAAGTGCATGAACTTCCTTCCTTGTTTGACCTTGAAAGACTTGGCTTGTCCTCCCAATAGGTGTTCCAGCCCACTCCTAGTGCAGAATCGTCTCCTGTATTCACAATTTATTCCAAAGATTAACTTATTTAACTCCGGATTTATTTAAACTGTCTAACACTGACATGCCACTTAGTGGGCCCGTGTACCAGGGAATATGTGTGTGTGTGTGTGTGTTGCTTCTTTACTGCATTCTTTCAAGGCAAGAAAGCGAGCCTTTGTGTGTAATAATAACTCTCTCTACTCACTGTATCTTTTGAAAATGTGAATATTTCAAACAAGTGAGGACAGGGTAGCTTCTGTGCTTGAGGGAGAAGGTCTATGGAATGTGCGAGGCACATGTTTTTAGATTTTGTAGCTACCCTTTTCTATAGTGACTAAGCATCTTGTGTGTGTTTGGTTTTAGTTTTTTTTTTTTTTTTTTTTACTCTGTGTGTTTTGGCGTACAGAGCAAATGCTTGTGTTTTACTGCTCAATCGATCTCCTCCCCTTCCACGCCAAAATGTCATTGCATATAGATGTAGTGCCTACACCCATTACAGCTTCTACTTGTTTATTGTTAATAGTGTGGGTTTCTAGCAAATGCACCAATAAATGCACTCTGTGTTACATTCATTGGTGCATACCACTGAGTTAAAAAAAAAAAAAAAGAATTGCCTATTAAAAGGTGTTTATGTGCAGAAATGTTTTGATTATGAGCGCAGGGTTAGTTTAGTAGCCTGGAGCGTTCTGGGAGTTAGTTTGTATACTTGTGAAATTATTATTCAAGTAATCAGAAATTACACTTTTTATTTATTTATTTTCACCAAGCACCAATGTCCGGTATTGTGTGGCACACAAGTGTAAGACTGCAATGCCAATTAGTCCTAGACAAAATTGTCAGCTTTTTAAACATCTTTTTTTTAGAGATTCAAAATCAGCTTGCATTACATCCGGAAATATAGTTATATAGTAATCTAGGTTGAAGAAAAAAAAAAACACATGTCAATCACGTTCAACCATTAAAGGAAAATGATAGCGTTAAGAATACAAAGCTATATTTATAAGGCTAGAGGTGCCCTATTACCTTGTTAGTTCCAAGACCCCTCACCCCCCACTCGTTTTTGCTATAAAAGCAGTTTAAAATAAAAAAAGGTTTTAATCACCTTTGCTTCCTCTTCAATGATCTAATACAATGTTCCTTAAATAGGAGCGTTGGGGGAGTGATGCGCTTGCGCAGTGAGCAAACATTCATGCAATTTATTTGAATCAGTAAGCATAGAATAAAAAATTCCCCGTGAGTTGAATTTGAAGTCCCCTTAACGTCGTCATGGACGGCAAACGTCACAAGACTAAGTTTTGTTCTGTTGTTACAGCAGAATCACATCTAGTGACTGTCGTCCATGTAGATTAAGTGGCCTGTGTGCGTTTAGCGGTCCTTTAAGCCACATCATTTTATGCTGTTGATCCAAAATAAGGCAAAAAAAATAATCAATTTAAGCGATGATCAATTAAAGCCCAAAAATAGAAAATGGAAATTCTTTTTGGATCCATTATGGCAAATAGATTTTCCTTGTATCAACAATCTGTTACATATAAATTATATTCTTGAATATTAGGTTTGTTTGTTTTTTAAAGAAATGCATTTAAAAAAAAAAGCCCTTTTAAAAAACAATTAGTACATTAAACGAAGTAGGTTTGTTAATCTGTTTAATTTGTGATATTCTTGCCACCCACCCAATAATTACACAGCACTATTCATTGTGCATGAAACCCAATGCCCACACGGTCTCTGATTCATTTGTATAGAATAATGGTTTAATGTTACTTGATAATGCCATAAACCTTACACAAATTTATAAAGTAAATCCTAACCGTGCTCGTTGTGTTATCCTACAGAGAACAAAAGATATGAAATGTCACAGTGCCATGCCTAGTGCTGGCTTATACCCAGGAGGATTAAAATGTATTTTAACTTTTTTTGTTTTTTTTTTTGTTTTTTTATGGGCCAGAGCATGTTCTAAAACAGAGAGGGACGAATGATAACCACCTAGTTCTCGTTTTGGAACTCCAACTTCTTTGCTGCTTTACCGGCATGAAAGGATTGAATTGCGTTATGATGGGAGTTGTAATTTTACTTGAGCTAAAGGGAGCAGTTTTTGCTGTCCTGTACGGACTGTACAGAATGCAGCCCAGCCCCAGAGACCACCAGGAGGCCCTTGCCCACCTTACTTAGTATCTTCCATTTGGATATCCCTGGCCTGGACTGTCCTGGACTGTGAATTATATTTAGACCATCTGTACATCTAAAATTCACAGCAATGAAATTTGTTTTTGTTTTTTTTGGTCCTGCTTTTACTCGTAAAAATAAATCTGTAAAGTCTAAGAGTGGATAATGAGCTGTGGTCGATGTTTTTAAGTATATCTGGGACTCTTAACAGCATAGAGCAATGCAATTTGTTTAAGGTTAAAGGACCACTCTAGGCACCCAGACCACTTCAGCTTAATGAAGTGGTCTGGGTGCCAGGTCCTTCTAGGGTTAACCCATTTTTTCATAATTATAGCAGTTTCAGAGAAACTGCTATAATTATGAATGGGTTAAGCCTTCCCCCAATCCTCTAGTGGCTGTCTCATTGACAGCCACTAGAGGCGCTTGCGTGCTTCTCACTGTGATTTTCACAGTGAGAGCACGCCAGCGTCCATAGGAAAGCATTGTAAATGCTTTCTATGAGACGACTGAATCTTGTGCAGCTCTTGCCGCGATGCGTTCAGCCGGGCGAGGAGAGGAGGAGGAGGAGAGCTCTCCGCCCAGCGCTGGAAAAAGGTAAGTTTTTACCCCTTTCCCCCTTCCAGAGCCGGGCGGGAGGGGGACCCTGAGGGTGGGGGCACCCTCAGGGCTCTATAGTGCCAGGAAAACGAGTATGTTTTCCTGGCACTATAGTGGTCCTTTAAGTCTTTCAGTGTTGCAATTAGTCGGCATACTGGAGCACCACTGCTTTCATAGCCCGTATGGATGTAAAACCTGGGCTAGCTTTGGGAATATATACGATATTTTGCATGTACAGCGATTGCTAGTTTCCATAGCAGTATCATTTGGCAACATTTGGGTTGTAGATTCCTGATACAAGTTTAACCTCCCAAGATGACGCATAGTAGGGCAGTGAATTGATTTGGCACAAGGCAAACTCATTTACCTCAAACCTGCTTTCCTCCAAGGTCTCTTATTTACCTTTAATGAGCGTGACATCCATCGAAGAAGAATATATCTGCTCTGATTATGTGCTGCTCAGCACTTTCATGAATGCAGATGAATTGCAGGAAATGGCTGTGATCCCAACAAATCTTGTCATGTTTGTGTGCTTAGTTTTTATTCTTTCTTGTACGAATCATAATGGGGAATAAAAATCATTCAGTTGTTTACGACCAGACAGTTAATTTTTCATATTGTGGTGTTTGGATATTTTGTTGTACCTGCATGCACTGGTGACAGATTGTAGTATCTGCATAGAATGTCTTACCAGCGGAATTGACGGAGATCGAAACAGTGGGAACATTCAAGAATATTCAATAAAACTTGTGGAACACAGTGGTCTTGATACAGACATTAAAGTCACAAATAAAATGGGCAGACTTTTATCTGCCATAAAATTCTTGATTTGTTAAGACAATCCAAACACCATAACCACTACAGCCTGTAGTTATTATGGTGCCAGAAATGCACTGGAGCCATCCCACGTGAAATCGTACCAAAAAGTTTTTACAATTTACTCAGATGCCACTGGGTGCCTGCACTGTATCAGCTGCATCTGGTCTTCTCTATGGAGCAAATCAAGCCGATGTAGGACTGTGAGGGCATACTGTTCTCAAACTAATCATTAATGTCCTGCTTTTCTCTGCTGGAAAAGACAGGAAGCAGTGTGGGTACCCGGCGAGACAGTTGCAATGACATCTAAATGTGGGACGACGCTAGAGTACTCCTAGCACCATAACCACTACAGCTGGCTGCTGGATAACTTTAAAATGGAGATTGGAAGACTAAGGGGTTATGTAAAAATGCTACTGTACACAATGCATTGAATATCCTTCCTGTGAAATTCAAGAATGCTTGTGCTGTGCACGCTATTTTCCTCAAAGCTAAATGCAGTTATTACTTAATTGAATTAAAATTGCTCTACTGGTTTTAAAAAATAGCTTAACACATTCGAGGCAGCCAAGGAATTGCTCTAGTCACGAATGCTTAATGTCACTATACGTCACTATATTGCAAAATTCCTACATGGGTCATGGGGAGGGTTAGTGCCAGGGCAGGGAGTGTGTGGACTGCACCTCTGGGCGGTGCAGACCATAGTAATCCCTACCTTGCAGTCTGGTGCTCTGTAATCGAGTCAAAGTTCAGCTGCTAGGATTCCCTGCCTTCATTTTGGCTCACTGAGCGCCTGGTCAAGAGGGATCGATTACTGTGGCCTGTAGTAGGAGCAGACTACACACTCCCCCACTAGACCAGTGACTATTAACCCCCAAAGTACTATCAAACACAATAGCCCTCCTCCCTTAAGAAAGAGGGTCAAAACACCGCACACAAACTCATTACACACAGCCTGCATGCATACACACACAACGGGGGGGGGGGAGGGGGGAAACAACAGAGTGAAATGCTCAGAGTTTTTTACTAAACCACACTCGTCACATATTACACACAGCCTGCATGCGCTCAAACACACAATTGTTATTTCCACACCTCTGCCTACCATATATCACGTATGTATTTATTTTAGCTGTCGGTATTTATTGATCCCAGACACATCAATCCAGTGTTTTAAAGTCCTATTTCTGCTCTAGCCTTTTGTGCACATTAAATCTATCAGCAAGAGTATACAACGGCTTTACCAAACACACCATCTAACAGGCTGCAAGATACGTGTACGCTATAAAATCCTGTGTTGGCACAAAAGAACATTTTATTTCTGTGAGTAATAAAACATTCGGAACGTTGAGCAACATTAATTTAATTTTCAAATCTCGTATTCAATTATATATCTCATTAAATTAAAATAATTACAACCAACATGAGCTGCGTTTCTACTGCTCACATTGGAGTGTTGGTTAATGTAAAATGGCCTCCAACGCATTCTGATTCAGAGCTTAATATAATTAAAGGAGGATGGTGTGTTTTCTAAAATAACATACAATTACTTGTTCTCTGGATATTGTTTTTGCCTGTTGGGTCATTTGCAGGAAGAAAAGAGAAGTGCCTGCTGTTTTAGGTATGAAAAGGTTACAGAGCTCTGAGATCAACACGTTTCATGTCTCTGAAGTCTGAATCCTATTGTTTGTGATTCAGAACAGACTTAAAGATCACATCTTAACCCTTTGATACCCCAATTCTGCAATTCTCAGGAAATTTCGTTATTAACACATTGTTTCTTTATTTAGGTCGTTTGAACTACTCTCATCCAGGGACAGACAGCCTTCTGATGTTAAATGGTACGTACTTTCAGAGATATTTACATATATACTTTTTTGGGGAATTAATCCCTTTGGCGCCAATGTTAAGCAGATCACTTTTACTTGCCAGTTATGTTAACAGTTTGAATTTTTTTATAAGTTCATTTTGTTTCGTATCATTCTAACAAGTAAACATAGCTTTTACGTCTTGGCTTAATCCCTATGTCCAGGGACATGGATTCTAAACTGGTTACTGCTGTGACTTTAAGATTGCGTTTTATATGGACTTTATTTAGAACAAAACAGATTCTCCCCTTTTAACTTTCTTCTTAAAGAGGTAGTCTAAGAACCAGAACTTTTAAGTGGTTTGGGGGCTTAGATGCGATACTGTAAATTTTTTTGCCATTTCCACATTCAGAGTCACCTGGGGCTTCCAACTCAATTTGATTCAATAAGTTAATCTATTTGATGTACATCATCACATTGCAAAGTATTCTGATGCCAAACACTGTGTGTCTAATACTTCTCTGTGAGAAGCAATGGATTGGCAAATTGTGGCGAGTGTTGTTAGTGCTTTTCTATGAGAAGCACCTTAATTGGACAACAGTCATCAAGATTGATGACATCACAGTAGGAGGATTGGGCTGCTTACAGGCATCTGTCCTAACAATGGAATTAGGAACATTTGTTATCCGTTTAAAAAATAAATTAGGTTGTGGTGTGGATTAATAGGATAATCAGCATGTCCAGTTAAAAAATAAATAAATAAATATTTTTTTAAAATTTGTTTTCCTTTTAACTATAGAAATCATCATTCACAACCCCTAATAATTTTGTATTCAGTTGCTTTTTTAAGGTGCTGCCCTGTATTCGGTACAATGTATGTGCTGCTTCAAAATCCCTAATTAATACCTCTACATCAGTAATTTTTTTTAATTTTTTTTAGAATTCAGGCAGCCAAATTTTTTTACAAAGAAATAATATTAATATGTCTTTCTAGCATTATACCACTATACAGGGTATTTCTCCAGTGTCTGCTCCTATGATATTCTGGAGATGGTTAATAAAAATGAGAAAGTAAACGACTGTGTCACTGAACTCGCTACCATAATCAAACCATGCAGATCTGTTCATGCCAGCGAGCTCTCACCATGCAGGATATTTGGTTAGTGCTGATGGACTGGCAGATAAAATGCATTACTGCCACACTGAGCATGCTTCTCATAAAACCAAGCTCTCATTCAATCCCCTATAGGCAACCAACAACATATATTTGTGTACTATTTCCAATCTGCCCATCTTTATCTTTCTCCATCCCCATCTATTAATGTATTTCTTCCTCACATGTGTTCCTCTCCCTTCCCCCAATTATGCCCCTCTCCCAATAACTTTCTCTAAATGTTCCATATTCTCATTCCCCTGCATCCCTCACATGTTGCTCTCTATTTTCTACCCGCATCCCTCACTTGTACCCTTCTTTTCCTCATCCCTCTTCCTTTTCTTGTTCCCCTCTTCTCTCCACCTTCTATCACCTGTTCCGCTCTTCTGTCCTCCTCCCTCACACAATTTTCCCCGCATCCACCCTTTGCTCACTTATGCTCATCTGTGCCCTGTGCTCACTTCTTTTTCACATCACTTCTTTTTTCGCCTGTAATTGCAGGCAGTTGGAGGTACAGGAGGTCGCACGGGATTAGGACGCCAACGTTCTCTTTGCGTGCTCTCCTGTAGTTCCTTTAGTTGTCTCTTGAGGAGAGGACCTGCGTGAAATGGTTACCTTTATTCTGCTTCTTGCCCGAGCACTCCTGCTGTAGCCCCAAAGATGCCAGGTTCCTGCAGTGCCGCCCTGAGGCCATTTGATCAGCGGTGTTATGGAATATCAGGCCTGTTGTATGCAGAAAGACTATTGCAAATCTCCAGCCAGTTTACCAGTCTCTGGAAGTGAATGGTGCGACAGAGCCGTATATTAGTTTACTAGTGATGTTAATCAGTTATATCGCTTGTGAGGGAAAACAGTTCTCATGTCATGACGCTTTGCTCTAGTTAAATTGTGTCGAGTCATTGTTAAAGCTGGCCTCACACTCTGCTCGCGGTGACACGGTCACGGCTGTAAGAATACTGACCGGCACAAATTGTTTTCTTAAAGTGGGTATATCTCCCGCATGTGCTGGCAGAAAAGCTTCCAGGTTAAATGTTGTTTTTAAGTGGACTTTGTGTCCTGGTCTTCACGTTGTATTCTGAGACTTTCTACCTTTTGGATTCTTACACATCCCACTTGATCAGTGTCAAGTCTAAACTTTAATCTCCAGGCTGATCTACATAATGCCTTGTGCAATATACAGAACACTTCCTATAATTCAGTGTCAGTATACTATTTTTTAAAATGTATTTTACAATGGGAGGTGCATATTAAATCGACACACAAGCACCTAGTCCACTTGATCATGTTGTAGTAATCTGGGTGACGTCCCTCTCGTTTTAACCCTGCAATGTAGAACATTGACATTCTGCAGGAACAGCAGGGTCTACATAGCCGGGTTTAAATGCCTCTAGTGGCTGTCGCACTGACAGACCATCTGATTGGCGCAGTGTATTCGCACTATCCCCAATGCTTTCCTAAAGGAATGCATTGGATTGACTGAGAGCATCAAAAACCAGTGCTTAGTCGCGGAGATAGCAGTGCATAATAGGATAAAAGCTATGTAAAATACCTTGCAGGGGTGGTGGCGGTCATCTGCTCTGCGACTAGGACACTATATCTTTAGGAATTACATGTATTCCTAATGCTACAGTGCTCCTTTAGAGTTAACACCAAATTGTCTTAATATAAAGTTAAAGTAAAAAGATGTGATCTATTCACTTGCATGGAATTTTGGACAATTGGCACAGGAATTCTCCAGCTCTAGGTATTTATGCATTGCAATTCTCTTGTCATTACTATATCCTGTATCCTGTCAGGTGAATACAAAAACAAGCACAGAAAGTGTCTCTTATTTGACTCAATGTGTCCAGATAGAGAGCATAACTTGTTTTTCAGCAAACCATACACAAAGTTGCGTACGTATTTTCTTTTTCACACCAGTGGCATTTCAAAGGGCCTAGCCCTGATGCACTCCCCTCCCCCACCCCCATTCTGGCAATATTTTAAACTATTATTTGCATTGGTTGCCACACTTGAGTTCTGTACATGATCTAGCAGTGAAGTGGGCACAGGTAGTACGTGTTGTTACTCTTTGTTTACTTTTTACGGTGGGCTTTTACATTTCACACCACTGCATTCTGCTGCTCCTTAATATTGACCTTTGCTGCCAGAGGTTAATAGACAAAGACCAGGCAAGCAGTGACCTTTGACCTGTATGGATAATCAAAGTGCATAACTATTGATCTTGTGAGTGATTGCAAGGTGCACCAAAATTAATCATGCAGTGCTGTGCCTAATCATGGAATATAGCCAGTTGCTCAGTCATTAGCCCAAGAAATGCAGTGTGGAAGATCTATAGGCAGGGCCTTCAACGCATGAGCTTAAATAATTGAATTCTTGCAATGTAAGTGTAGATTATCATTGTTTTCTGTTACTATGGGAACATGTTTCACCTGCTCTACTGCCAGGTTTTCATCAAACAGTGGCCTCTCTTGAAGGCATCTATTGATTGCTTCAGCAGCTTTTTTTTTGTATTTGGTGTAAATGTCCTTTTTTAAATGTAGATGTTGGAGGGTGTGTTCAGAAACTTGTTGTGACAAGTTCCAAAGAAGGATGTGATTGTCACTTTGTTTGCTTGGTATACAAGAAACCAAAAACATACACTGTATGTTTATAGCTACAGTTGCAACAATGTATTATAGGCCTTTTCTAGCAAATTATATTGTGCTGGTTTTTTGGGGGGTTTTTAGCACACAAATCCCCCCCCCCCAACTCAACACTTGTGGCAAGATCACCTAATATAGTCACAATTTTAGTCATTTCCAAGTTAACTCTTTAAGGGCAATATATTAGGCCGGAATATTCTAACTAAAAAAAGCTGAGACATTTTCCCTTTTGGCCACCCCTTAAAATTTTGTTTACCTACACAAGTTGATGCTAAATGTTGATCCTAAAATGTGAGTAAAAGGTAAAAGGCCGGGAGGTAGTTTGCTGAAGTCCTGCCTTACAAGAAGGATACTTTCAGAAACTGGAAATGGGGTTAACAGGGCTATGCAAAACCAAAACATTTTGTTTAAGTCTGTCCAAATATTTGATGTTGGGTAAACGAGAATCAGGAATGTGAAGACTGGGTTAGCTAGATTTTATCTCGTTGCTTTCCTAGTTATAAATGACGCAACCTCGGTCTACAGTAAGTTATGATTGAGTTTCATCTTTGTACGAGGATGTCCAGAGTCTTTAAAAACCCCATAGGACGGCTTTGATTCAGTGCTTTCCTATGGCGATGGCCCTAATGCATTACGTTTCCGAATCCCTGTGACTGGAAATGGGTACGTGAAAGAAAGGGTTGTAATATTTTTTCCAAAAATATTAAATCCTTTGAAAAACTTATACCAAAAAAAATATTTAAACGAGGCCTAAATCGGACTAATGAAATAGAGCAAATGAAAAATGCAAACTAACACTTTGCCTGCTGCTGCAGGGCATTGGACTTTCATGTTGGTGGAACAAGAAGGAATCCATAAGCTTATCTGGATTATTTTGATGGTGGATTGTCATTGCTGTGATGCTGGGTGGTGGTTGATCCTTGCTTGGTTTGGAATGATTTCTGTGGTGCTAGCGGTTTGTCTGACCATGTGATTAGGTTGTGGAATGTGCCAGCAGCTGTTTGGCCTCATGATCACCTGGTGGTGTAGACTTATTTTGGTGTAATCTGCTGTTCCTCCCTATGGGTGAAGGAACGTAATGTATCTTGTTTTCTCTGCTCCTTATCACCAGTATTGGGTGGTGCAGTGGCATTTCTCTGGTGTAGCAGCTGTTTCCATCCCTGTGGTACAGACACTCCCAATCATGCCAGCTGCGAGTTTCTTCCCCCTGTGATTTAGCTGGTGGAATGGCATTCTTCGAATTCTACCTGCCTTCGTTTAGAATATTAGGAAGACTAAACATGTGCAGGTTTTATTCGGTTTACTCTTACACAAAGTCTCGAAGGTCTGTTAGGATCTTAAACATGGGTTTATGCATTCCCAGATGTCTGTCTGAGATGAAGGCCTCATCTCAAACGTGAAACTTAAAAATACCACCTGCCCGTTATCTACTGTTACTGTATTGGTTCCTTCAGAATATTTGCATGCTATAGACAAAGGAATTTAGATCAGAGGAGAGGTGTAGAACTCAACTGCAGGAATAATACCTAATAATAAAATGGGTTCTCCTGCATAGAAAATGAAAATGTAAATTAAAAAAAGCAGCTAGAGTCATGGTTGAGAGAATACATTAGATTTTTTTTGTGCTTTCTGTGTTTAACCACGTTTTAAGTCCGCAATAGGTCTTTAGTCTAAAAAATTCTAAAGCCAGCTATTTTGGTCTAGGCTTGCATTGTCTCTTGCATAGTGAAGTGAAGCAAGTATACCATTAGAATTCTTTCATAGGTATTTTCCATAAATTACATATTCCACCTAACAGTGAGAGTATTATACCTATTTTAAAATTGAGCAAAGCTGAAATAAAATAATTGAGGGCAAAATAAAGGTCTAGGCAATTTTCATGCAAATTTCTTCGTTGCTCAGCTGCCTGCAGCATTTGCCAGACTTAATAGTCTAGTTCAACAGGATGGGTCAATATAGATCTGTCTTTCAAGCAGGTTCAATGGAACTGGTTTTTCCCGAGGAGAGAAACCTTGAAAACCTGTACAAAAAGCATTCGCATTCCGTTTATTATCTTCAAAACTTAATTATAAAATATAATGCGTAATTATAGGAACACTATACACAAACATGCGTTCCTGTCTATAGTGTTAAACTATGCTATTGCACCCCTTAGATAGCATTAAAAAGATGTTTAATCTTACCTTTTTTCCCACGCAGCAATAGTTTCACCACGACTGGCTCTGCCTCTATGGCTGAGGTCATCAATCTTGATCTCAGCCAATCTAATGCTTTCCCATAGGAAAGCATTTAGAGGCTATTGAGCATGCGCGGCAAAAGGTCACGATGCATCTCTATGAGGAACTCCATGCAGAATGAGAAAATGATGACCATAGGGAAATTGGGAAACTCCTCTAGTGGCCGCCTGAGTGACTGCCACTAGAGGTGTTACTAGGCAGCAATGTAGAAACTGCCTTTTCTCTGAAATTGCAGAGCTTACGGTGCTCAACCTGCAAGGGCTGGTTATAGACACCAAAACCACTACATGAAGCTGTAGTGGTTTTGTAGACTTTAGTGTCACTTCAAGATAAATGCCAATGATCTTACATTTAACTGCTACGGTCTAGGCTCTGGAATACATTAGTTTTTTTTTTTTTTTTTTTTAGAATAATATAATAAATAATAATAGCTTTCAGGTAACGCTTCCAATGTAGTCTTGCGACGTCCCTCATGTAGGTTGGCAGTGCCAGGTTTTGTTTTGTTTTCTCTAGCCACAGGGTCACCAGTGAGGTCATGGGTATGACGTGGGCGCAAGAGGAGCAAAGTTCTCTATTCATTGTTATGACACAGATGGATAACCTTTTGGTATTTCTACTGTTTTGACAAACTGTCAAATCTGTTTGAGAAAAGAGGCTTTTATCTCAGGAAAGCATTGGGTTCACTGAGATTGTCAATTCTGGTGATCTCTGCCAAGGATGCGGGCAACCAAATGCCTCCCTGGCCAATCACTATCTCCTCATAGATATGCATTGATCCAATGCATCTGTATGGGGAAAGTTCAGTGTCTCCATGCAGAGGGTGGAGACACTGAATCTCAGCAAGCACCTCTAGTAGCCATCTGAGGAGTGGCCACTCGAGGTGTCCCACGGAAGCAATGTTAAACACTGCTTTTCTCAGAAAAAAACAGTGTTTGCTGCAAAAAGCCTGCAGGGACAGACCATTCTCACCACACCAAAAAGATTAAGCTGTAGTTGTTCTGGTGACTATAGTAACCCTATAACAATGAAGCCCTCCAGCACCATCTCTCTAGCGTTTTATACAGGATGGGCATTGAAAGGCTTACCAGAGGCCTTGTGTAAAAGAGTGGAATGTCTCTTTAATGTTTTGCTACAGTGTAGGATATGAGTATGCTTAACGAGTCCTGGATCTGTCAGGTCAACCTTGGGAAGTTTGTATGCTACAACCTCTGATGGCCTGCGTCTGTTACGTAATCTATTTGTGCAATATAGCAATGTGGTTTCCAAAACCTTTCCGGCTTGGATAAAAAGGTTTATTTATACAATTATTTAGATGCTGAAACAACTATTTGGACCCTTTAAGAGCTTAGTCAAGGCAATCTATCACCATTAAGGTATATTTATGTGCCATGATTACAGAGCTTTATGGGATAAGGGGGGGGGGGGGAAGAAATCTATTAAACTACAGTCAAAGAGTCTTGTTTGGTGGAGCAAGGTGGTGTCTTCTTGCTTCAGGCACTTGCCTGTGCAAGTGCTAAAATTCAATGATCGTTATAGGTGTTTGTTTTTTTTTGTTTTGTTTTTCGAAATTTGTTTCGAAGTTTTAGAAATAAAGCAAACTTGTTTTAACTGTACATTTGTTGCCATTTTAATGGGGGGGGGTTGTTTTTCTCCCTCTGTTCTATTGCATGGTCTCACCTAGAGTTTAAAGGATTATTTGCATATCTTCGTATTTAAAAAAAAAATAAAAAAAATAAAAATAAAAAAAAGTGCCTGGGTAAGAACAAATACACTTTTGTTTTTTTTCCTCTTGTGATTTCAACATTGGTTTAAAAAAAAAAAAAAAAAGGCGTTCCACTTTGTGTTGTCGTTAATCTAGTGGTCTTTGTGGATAAGTCACATGATTCTGTCAGTGGTTTCTCTAAGTAATTACCTTGGGACCGGCTGATTCAGCATGAGTGATGCTAGGAGCTCCTTGTGACATACTTCTACCATCTCATGACCTAATTATCACCTGACCTGCAGGGCAGAAGCCAGGCTGATTTCTATTAATTTCTTCCCCAGTTCCCCGCCCTTAATATTGAGAAGTTGCCTTTTAACATTTACAGTGCTAAAAGGTGCTTCGAAATAAAAATAAATTAGTCATATCGGTGGATGTTTTGTTAATTTTATTGTTCATACATATTAGGTTATTGTATACCTAATGGTAACCTATTGAATGCCTGATATCCTAACACTCAAAATAGTATCATGACGTGGTTTTCAATTTTACCATTTAAGCTCTGCCAGTATTTTCTGAATAATTCTGTTCTTAACCCCTTTAGGACACATGACATGTGTGACATGTCATGATTCCCTTTTATTCCAGAAGTTTGGTCCTTAATGGGTTAAAGAAACCAAAAAATAAAAAAACTGGGGAATTTTGTCTGTCTACAATTGTTGGCTGTCTTGAGTTGTTGCTTAATATTAGAGACTTTCTTATCATATTTGGTTTGCTGCATGGTCATTTTTATTTTTTATTTGTATTTTACAGTTTTTATTTTAGAGTCTTATTTACATTTCAACGTAAATAGAATTTAGACATTCATAATCACTGCTGCCTTTTTGTCTAATCATTGTTTGCAAGGAGCCAGTGAGTGTCGCAGTAAGATTAATTTCTGTACTCATGGCAATGTTGTGGTACGACATAAATTAAGGTATTCTGAATTTTCTTTTAATTCGCAACTTGATCTATTACATTTGTTCTACCATACTAAGAGTTTATGCGTTCTATCTGCTCTTTCTTTGGATCTGTGCTGTAGTTTTGCTAACGGCTGAGGAGATTGAGAGTTTGACTGAGAAAAAAAAAATCTTCTTTCTTTTTTCCTTATTCTCTGAAGGGATTAAGCCTTGGCACAGATTCTGGCTAATGGTGATAAGCGTTGCTAATACTTCTATACTTGCATCCCTCTCCATACAAACTTATCCTTGGCGTAATAGCAGCATAAATTACTTACCACCATCCCTGTCCCTCACAGGCCTTCGAGTACAATGGATTTTCTTGTTGGTTAGACTGTGATTTGTTTATTTTCTACAAGGGGCTTTTGTTGAAGTGACAAAAATTTAAACAAAAAAATGCCTTGATGTTGGTTTTCTGCCAATCTCTTTGAGTACAGGAAGGTCAAGCTCCACAGTCTTTTATATTCTTGTATTTTGTAAATAGACCAACAGTTTTGTTTTTTGGAGAGTACAATTTCCTGATACCCCTCCCAAATTTTTTAATTTTTTTTTATATATATATAATAAACTACTAAACCACAAGATTCCAGGGCAGGTATTACTCCTGTTTAGGTATACACGCTTAACATATTATTTATAAGGCAACATTGCTGGTCAAGTTCATTAAATTGACATTTAAGGCTAACAATCTCTCCACAACTTCATTTTTATTTTTTTATATATATATATATATATATATATATATATATATATAGATTATTGTATAGATAAATATACAACAAAATTAGGAAGAATACTATGATAAACTTACATTTGATATTTATTGACATCTCTTAGTCAATGCTGGTACTCCCATTATTTTCTAAGCATGCTGTACATATCTTCAATACATTTGTTGTAAAAGAAATTAGAAAATGGCCAATTACACAGGTAGTGTGACTGTAGTGACCCTTTAACTATCTTGTTTAAAAAAAAAAAAGCTATTTTTTAAAAACGCTATGTCTTTGGTCAGGACAATGTTTTCATGTAATAAAATTACATATTTTTTTTTCTGTTTTAAATGAAAAGTGCTCCATGTGCTACTTTACAAAGATCCTTATCAATTTTACAGAGTTTTATAATTCTCTATAATTACATATCATATAAGAGATCTTTATATCCTCTTATTTTCAAACCATGATTTCCTTTTCAGGATGTATTTAAGATTACTACAGCAGTTGTATTAAAAACAGTATGTTCTTTATTTTTTTTTATATATATTTTTTTATTTTTTGGGGGTTGCAAACAGCTTATAATTAGAGAGGGGATTGTAGGCTTACCTCAATCGTCTGGCTATGAAATGTATGTTTATTTTTTATTTATTTTTTCCTATTAAATCGTATTATTACGGTCTCACTTGTTTCCTTGTAACAATTTGATCTGTGTTTTTCTGGTTTCTCCACCCTCCACAACAACTCGTTCTAAAAAGGATTGGTTTGCATTACAGTGTTGAAGTATCTCTATAACAAAACTTTTGCAATTAAATGACATTAATTTTTGTGTATGTGTAATAAAAATGATCAACAGGAGGCTTATCTATCCTGACCCTCTTAAGAACGACCTAATTCATCCTGTGCCTAGTTTCCGGTCTGCCACAATTTATCACCGTGACTTTGTATTGGTGGGATATTCCATCAACTGCTACATGTGTCTGTCTATTGGTATACGTTCCCATCAGTACAACACTCTTGTCCTTGAGAATGAAAGGGGAAAAACTCCAGTATAGTTTTTCATATAAAATTGTTAGCCAGGAATGTTGAACTGGACCCACCTGAATAATGATGGTCTAAAACCCATATTCCCCTACGGCCAACAGACCATATTGAATCATGGGAGCTGTAGTTTTACATCTGTGGATCTTCTGTTCAAGACCCTTTGGGTCATTCAAATAATATCTATAATTAATCATTGTTCAAACAAAAAAGTTATTTTGCATAATCATCCATGCAGCAGAATTTATTTCCTTTACATTTGCTAGTATGTTCCATTTAAGTGATATTATGACCAAGAAACTGACCATTTATCCTTTGTTTACATGCAGCAAGGAGTTATGGGCGAAGACGAGGTAATTCATATATTTATCGTTAAAGTTTTAAGTTCAAATGTTTTGCCCAAATCTTACCTAATTATGCCTAATATGTTCAATTTGCTTTAATTTGTGGACACAAGCAGTGATTGCTAGTTAAGTCAGTGGCGCAACTGCTGGTATTACAATGTGTTTCTGCTTACAAATGTATCCCAATGTGATTTTAAAGGATATATGAAAGAAGGCAAATATTAATCCGTAACACATTTAATCTTTAATAGATTACTTATTTCATCCAGTTAATTTCTCCTTAAAGTGGCTCTTTCAGCCTAAATAATGTATGCACTAACATACAACATGTTTAACGTTCTAAAACAAAAAATAAGCTATTGTTTATGTGTACAGGGTTTAAAGCAACATTACAAAGTTCAGTGTAAAAAATAGTTTCACTCAAAACCCTTAGCTGGCATGACATTGTGTTTTTTTTTTTTATTAATTAAAAAAAAAAAATGGCCACCTCCAAACTTAAACACTTAAAAGTATAGATCCAGCTAAACATGCTCTAGATTGGTTAAAAGAAAATCTGTATGCAATATTGTTTTAAACTGATTTATGGCGGGGGGACGGGGGATGATCAGGTGTCAGTGCCACTTTAAGCATTCTGTCACATGTGATTTTAAAAGAATGTGACATGTTGAAGTCTCTTTTTACTCATCCAAAAATTTCAGTTAACACGTTATTTTTATTTTTTTAACAGTTTATATAAATTTATTTGTACTGGCATGTATATGGCACCAACATTTTACACGACACTTCACTATTTTAATGTGGGGATGAAATCGAATATGACTAAGAAACTATTACAAATCCAACAAGAAACAAGAGGTTTTTGAGCACTCTGCTCGAACAAGCTTGCAATCTAGACGGATATCCACATATTTCTGAAAGATGCCACAATTGGTTATTTACAATGTGCAGAAGCCATACTATTCCATAAACTGGCGTGCCAACCTCACAAGGGGACACAGCTCCTATAAATTATACTTTTCAAAAATAGCCTTTGAGGAATATGGGTAAAACAATCAAAATATCTGTAGATTGTAAGCTCGTTTGGGCAGGGCCCTCTTCCCTCCTGCACATTTATGCAATACATGTTTTGTTAAAAAATAAATGTTTGTCTTGTTTATCAAATTGTACAGCGCTGTGCAATAAGCTGGCGCTCTATAAATCATTGTACGAATAGATCACTCCTGATTTAGTTATGTAATGTGTCAATAAGTTTATAGTGTTAACTTTTCTGTGTTCAGCAGCATTACCTTTAAATACTTGTATATATGTGTATATATCTATGTGTACACATATATACAAGGGTCCAATAGCCAATGCTCAGAGGGGATACAAAAAGAACATAGTAGTTACCAGTATTTAAAGGTAATGCTGCTGAACACAGAAAAGTTAACACTATAAATATATATATATATATATATGATATCTGCGTATATCTGTGATAATTAGCACAGTGCATGTAAAGCGCAGGGTGCAGTGGCAAATAAAATCCCAGCAGTGAGATTTTTGACATAGCCACCTTTGACATTTAGGACAAAGAAACCTCCTGGCACATGCGTTGTAGATTGGTAGTGACATTTCCAGGCTGTCCTGTTATTTCACACTTTTCCTTTTGATCTTTTCAAACATTGAACCAGGAAATGCCTGGCATTTGTAACTTCTTTTTAGCTATTGTACACAGAAATTGATTTCAAAATGTTTACGTATAACCTATAGAGATTTTTGGGAAAAAATCTTTAGAACTCCACTTGTCCAATGATCCGAGGGCACTCATAAGACAGGTTTCAAAATTGAGTTTGATTATTAATTGTCACATTTTATGTACATTTCGGCAGGGTAGCCAGAGGGCTTTTGTAATATTTGGACTAGAATTTCCAATTTGTCTGAATACATTGTGTGTAGCCATGCTGAAACGATGAGCTGAGTTCCTGCGTAGAAGCACTCGGGGCATTAAGAAGTGTGACGACCTTTGGAAAGTAGCCCTGACAATAAACATTGTGTAATCATCAAAGTTGTTACTGCGGGACCAAGGTCAAAACACACACTTTAAGGCTGCGTGAAGTTATTGAGAGGTCACATGTTATATATGAACTGTTTAAATGTCTCTTGTTAAACCCAAGACAGATTAGTGGAATGTCGCACATACCCATACAGCTTAGTCGAGGCTTGGCGTAGAAATCATTTGGCACCACTAGCATAAGAACTCATATTTTCACAAGAATTTTTAACTGAAACAAAAGAATCCTCTTTAGGTATAAATTGTTGAAACAAAACTTTTACCATCAACAGTTGTAATTCGTCTGCCACAGATAGCTGGACAGAGTAGCAAATAAAGAGAGAATGTTATGGGAGTGTGTACATGTATGTTTGTATTTTTCTTTCAATGATTTTGCAGTGGGCTGCCCTTCGTTGTTGAAGGTATTCTGAGTAAGCTAGAGAGGTTGAAAAGTTAAATTATTCTTGGGTGTGTGATAAAGAAATAGATAAATTGCTAGTGAATAGCAATATGTAGTTGTGGCTTATAAACACACGATGTATCGTAAGGCAAACTGTTTTAAAGGAGAATTCTATGCACTAACCACCTTAAAGGACCACTCTAGGCACCCAGACCACTTCAGCTTAATGAAGTGGTCTGGGTGCCGGGTCCAGCTAGGGTTAACCCTTTTTTTTATAAACATAGCAGTTTCGGAGAAACTGCTATGTTTATAAATGGGTTAATCCAGCCCTCAAATCCTCTAGTGGCTGTCTCATTGAGTGATTCTCACTGTGAAAATTGTGAATGCTTTCCTATGAGGCTGAATGCGCGCGCAGCTCATTCCACGCGTGTGCATTCAGCCGAAAGGAAGGAAGGAAGGAGAGGAGGCGGAGAGCTCCCCGCCCGGCGCTGGAGAAAGGTAAGTTTTAACCCCTTTCCTCTCCCCAGAGCACTATAGGGGTTATTTAACTAAGCACTGCCGTGGTGCAAAGAATCTGTGAATGTCTTCAAATGTTGTTTTTTTTTTGTTTTTTTTAAATTAATTAAATTTTTTAACATTGATTTTAAATGCATGTTCGAGGCCATTGTTACTGTATAAATTCCTTTCAGCAACTATTTTTGAGTTGTTTACAGCACCAGGGGAACAGCAAGCACAGCTTTTTAACCCAGTAGATTACCTTACATTTAGATTTTAAAAAGAACTGATTTAGTCTAGGTGCATGTACAAAAACAGATCACCAGTTAGTACTCAAAGGAGGGGGGTATGAGGGGTAGAATTTACAGCACCAGCCAAGATGTGTTACAATAGGAGCAATACATACTGTATATGCAATTCGTTGCCTGCAGAGATTGTGCTACCCTGTATTTAAAAAAAAAAAAAAGTGCTTCCTTAGCAAATCAAGATGGCATTAATTGAAAGCATGCAAGATGGGCCCTAGGCTTCCTGCTACCCTAGGTTAACGTGTTCTTAATGACCACTCCCAAAAAACCAGGTGAACATGCTTTAATATGGTACACAATATCTAGAACAGGCATAGGCAACATTTGGTACTCCAGGTGTTTTATACTACACCTTCCATGATGCTTTGCCAGCATTATTGGTGTAAGAGCATTATGGGGATGTAGTCCACAACATCTGGAGTGCCGAAAGTTGCCTACCCCTGGTCTAGAATCAAGTTAACATTTAAAAAAAAAAAAAGCTAAATAAATAGCGCTGATTAATTGGGCCAACTTCCCCATAGTAGAAAGAGCCATTAAACTAACCCATAATGCAGTGCTGTCCTGGTTCCTCTTCTAAGCCAGACCAGTCTTCTGTGAAGTCATTATTCCTAATGCTTTTTGTTCAGTATGATGCCTCTCATGGTCAAACTAGTGTTTCTCATTGAGAAAGTTGGATCCAATGATACTCGGTGCAGCTTACCTGCTTATTTTGTATACCGATGTCTCATATCAGATGTAAGAGATTCCATAATTGTATCTTTTTCAGTCTAATATTGTGTGGGTATTGCAAAATGAGTGCTGCCTGTAGTTAAAGGACCACTATAGTGCCAAGAAAACAAACTTGTTTTCCTGGCTCTATTGGGTCTTTGGGTCTCACTCCCGCTGGGCTGAAGGGGGAGGAAGTGGTTAAATTCTTACCTTTCTCCAGCGCCGGGCTCCCTCGACGCTGGGGACTCTCCTCCCTCTTCTGATGTCATCCCCCGAATGCGCATGCATTCAATCAGTCCATAGGAAAGCATTTCTCAATGCTTTCCTATGGACGTTGGCGTCTTCTCACTGTGAAAATCACAGTGAGAAGCGCGGAAGTGCCTCTAACGGCTGTCAATGAGACAGCCACTAGAGGCTGGATTAACCCTAATGTAAACATAGCAGTTTCCCCGAAACTGCTATGTTCACAGCTGCAGGTTTAACCCTAGATGGACCTGGCACCCAGACCACTTCATTGAGCTGAAGTGGTCTGGGTGCCTATAATGGTCCTTTAAGTAAAGCCCTCTAACAGGAAAATAGACAAACTTTGTATATATGTACCCAGTAGTATAGAAGCGCAAAACAGGGCTACCTAATAACAAAAAAAATAGCTCAATAAAATTGAACCATTATCCTGTGTATTAGCCCTTAGTCGTATGGTAATCTAAAATATTATCGGAAGGGAACATAAGGACAGATAAGGCTTTAATAATACAAGTCACTGGATCCAAAATGAAACAGGACTAGTATGATATAGAGAATAGTGGGAGTGGGAGTCCATCCACTTCTGCATCATATAGATAGTATCATTAAGACCCTTAAATTTCACTGATACAGTGTAGTTGTTGGAAAATTGTAACTAGCAACATTAATATCTATAAGATATACAAGATGTTTATAAAAAAGGTTGCCCAAAGTTACAAAAACATTTAAAAAAAATGCTGATACAAACATCAAAATGGCTTTTAGCAATAGGATAGAGTCAGAACAGGGGTGAGAAGTCATTGTTTTAATTTGAAAGTCTGCAGGGGCAGGGCCAAAGTCATTTCATTAAAGGAGCACTATATGGTCAGGAACACAAACATGTATTCCTGACCCTATAGTGCTAAACCCACCATTTAGGTAGCTTGCCCCCTCCCCTCCCAACCTCCTTAAAAGGAATTAAAACTCACCTTATTTTCAGCACCGCATGAGTGCGCTGGCCCCGCTCCTTTGGTGACATAATCAAAATTGCCCATAGGGAAAGAATTGGATTGGCTAAAATCAGCTAGGGGGCAGGGCCAAATACTGCTTTGGCCAATCAGTACTTCCTCATAGAGATGCATTGAATCAATGCATTGAATCCATGCAGAGCGTGGAGATGCTGAATGGCAGTGCTGCCTACTGTTCAGCACTGAGCCAGGAAGCACCTCTAGAGGCCATCGGAGGAGTGGCCACTTGGAGGTGTCCCTAGGGGCAATGTAAACACTGCCTTTTCTATGAAAAGACAGTGTTTACATGAAAATGCCTGCATATCATGATTATTACTCACCAGAACAACTACATTAAGCTGTAGTTGTTCTGGTGACTATAGTGTCCCTTTAAGGTGAAGTGAATTTGGTGCTTAGTTCCTTTCAAGGGCCTGTGCAGCAACTAATGTTACTGTTAAAATGAAGCAAAATATACAAACCTGTAATGGATTGCTATTGAATATAGAGAAACTCCCCAAGGCTAATTCAATTAATAAAACTATAAAAAATACATCCCATAATACATATATCAGACGTACGTTTGTCCAAATTGCATTATATAGGAAGCAGGCTGTTTATGTCCAATAAGCCAATATTTCACAAGTGTACAGGTTTTCAACTTTAATTTATTCATCCTGTGCAGATATTTTGAGGGGGGAGTATGAAGTAGTAGAGTGTATGCTAAATGTAATACAGATTTTGGAAAAACAGAGTGGAAAAAAATAAACACAAAATATTTAATGAGTGCCAGTAGAATACGAATCTCCGATTTGAAATAAACACAAATTGCACATTTGGTGCAATCTATTAGCTTTTAATTAATTATCAAGCTTCATTATCAAGCTTAAAGGTACACGTTAGGCACCCAGACCACTCAGCTCATTGAAGTGGTCTGGGTGCTGTGTCCTTTTTGCAGTAGTGCTGTAATGTTAAACATTGCAGTTCCAGAGAACTGCAATGTTCACATTGCAGCACTAAGTCTGCCCTCAGTGACTGTCTATCAGACAGCCACTAGAAGGCTCCCGGAATCGTAACAGACTTTTGGTCTGTTATCGGATGTTGGACGTCCTCACACTCTGCGTGAGGCACTCCCGCGTCAGATTTTTCACTATAGGAAAGCATTGAATCAATGCTTTCCTATGGGGAGGTCTAATGTGCGCGCAACATTTGCCACGCATGCGCATTAGACCCCGCTCAGGGTGGCGGAATGGGCGCTTCGAGCCAGCGCTGGGATAAGGTAAGTAAATAAAGGGTTTTTAACCCTTTATTTACCGGGTAGGAGGGGAAAGGCAGAGGGATCAGTAGTGCCAGGAACACAGCTTTGTATCTGGCACTACAGTATCCCTTTAAAGAAACACTGGAGCATTAGAAATACATATCTGTTAGGAATACAGAATAAATATCTGTATTCCTAACTCTTAGTGCCCCTTAACATTTTGTGGTCCCCCTCATATCTGCACAAAAATAAAATGATAAATCATTTACTTACCCTTACAGTCTCCCTCTGTGCTGCCGCAACCTCCTTAGAGGAGCATTGGTGAATGTAGGTGCATATGCTGTGCTTGCTGTGATGTGCATAAAATTTATCCATAAAGTATCGTATTCAATGATTTTGCATGGCCGACTACAACGGTGCATGACTTCACGGTATGGTACGGTATGAGAACCAGGAAGTAAGATTCCCGACTCTCGTACCTAGAGGGTTTGTTGGCGCTGGCTTGAAGTATCTCTTCCAAGCCCTCTAATTTACTTTAATATTAGATTTTGGGGAGTAGGATGGGGAAGGGGGATCAGCACTGTTGTTAAATTGCCTACTGTATTCCTTTAATATTTTTTAGAGAATTTTGTGGTAAGTAGGCAGATTCCAACCTTGATAGAATACTCCCCCTAATATATTCATTGGTTCCTAAAACCAACATACAAATTATGCTAACTCCTACACTGTCTAGCGATCCTAAATTCTGCAAATACTTCTCATTTGCTGAGTTAAGGTTTTGACTCTGGCCTAAATATGATTCCCCTAGCTCAGTGGTGTTACGTTGTGTCTAGCAAAAGCAATCGAACGAAAAATAGCAGTAAACTTGGAGAGCAGGGAATCTTCTAAAAATTTCAGTGGAAACTGATAATATCTTACAGAATGTTAACACAGGAATATTGATGGCACACACAACATAACTTCTGTAGCCTCCTTCGTAAGAAATTCCACAGCGCAATATCCGTGATTCTTATATATTCTATATATAATAAGACAAGAATATTGACTTTGTGTACCTGTTGTATCATGTGGTGCTGGCAAGTCATCGGTTATGAAGGAATTGTTGTTTTTCGTTTTTTTAAGTAAAAAGTCAATTACCCTTTAACTACCAGCAGTTTTTAAGTAGACTTGTGAACAAACTGTTCAGCTGTGTGGAACAAATTTTATTCCTGTTAATCTACACCCAAACAAATCGATCCAGTAAGGAGAGGCTCTGGACTGCTAGCCAGATTTAGGCAGTGCACTTTGGATATCCTTACACTAAATTAATATAATAAACTTTGACAAAACACAGGCCGATGATTTAATCTTAGCACATGCAGTTATTTAGTTGCACAGTTTGGCTCTTCTGTACCTTGATATCTTGCTTGCACAATTTCATAGAACTAATAGGCATATGTGTTTATTTTTTACTCCTGCTTGCATCAGATTCCCAGTAAGGCCACACTCCTTCCTCAAGACCCAGTTTCAGGAAGCTAAATACGATTTGGCAAAGCGATTTAGCAAAGCGTGCAGTCATCCAGTGGGCCCCCCCCCCCCCCCCCCACACCCTTATTTAATTTTCCATGGCAAGCAAGCCTTGTCTGCAACACAATTTATTTTTTTTCCTCTCTCAAGAGGAGCATGTATACATACCAGGAACGCAACTCTAAACCATTCCACTGCAGTTTCCGAAATATTACAGATTTTTTTTTTTCTTAATTCAAAAATTAAAAATAAAATAAAGGATGGGTAAATCTTGACATACCTGTCAGACCGCATTGAGGTCTCAGTTCTGCCCAGATACACTGTCTGCCCTGTCACAGACTGTCTATGTTATTATTATTTACTTTTTCAGTTCTTTAACCTATTTTCTTATTTTTATTTTTATTTTCTTTGTTTAACCAGTCACTATTTCCATACATTGAAGGTACGAATGTTTGGGTGAGGATGTTTGGAGTAGGGGGAAATGATGTGGGGGAGCATCCTAATAGTCCCCGAACCATAGCCCTCCATAGCATGGAGAAGGGGATAGAAGTAAAACAGTTTGGACTGTTCTAAACCCCTTGAGAAGTTACATATTGTTCTGTCGATATTATTATATCCTTTGCATGGATTTCTGTCTTTATGATAATTTTTATAATTTGTGGTGAATGTATCATTATTTGACCTAACTCGATGTTACTGGAGGAATAACAGGAACAAACCGCAGAAGCCACACATAGAGATATGGACACAAGTCTTCAGGAAGTAACAGGTCTTTTATTTACACACCGATCGGGTCTCAGATGAACTCCTGTTCCAAGAATATCTGAGAGGCAGAAGGCATGGTGCAGAGGCCTTTTATTAGCAGCATATCCCCTCCCACACAGTATAACCCCTCCTATATTCCTCAGATCAATCAGCACACAGGATATTCAGGATCACCTTATATGGGCAGACCACATGGCATTTACAGACAAAGGAATGTACTATCAACTTCCGTACATGCTCAGTATACTGATGACTCATCCAACTGTTTGTAATCAGATAGTAATTAGCATATGCCATGTGGAGATTTCGGCCTACTAAATATTGACCATGCTGGAATCCCATCACATTACCACATCAAAAATAAAGAATAACAAAAATTAATAATCATGTTAACCCTAGGATTGCGTGCTCGGACAGGTCCATGACAGGAAATGTGACTGGTATCTTTTACTTTATTACGTGCTGATGATGTGTGCGATACGTTAACAGGCCCTTCACGGGATTAAAACCTTGACATCCGCTGAAGGCGAGGTTGCGTGCATTCCCAACTAATGCTAAAAATACAGACTTGCAGCGTGTAGCTGACTAGATACAACAATCTCTTCGGCCTCAAGGATTGTGCGTTTTCATTTGAAAATCCCTTGCAAGCTGTTATGTTTATAAGGCCTCCTGGGTTGTATATTTAGCAGGACATGCTTTTGTGACATTAAACATTTGCTCTGGAACACATTCTTTGTGCTGGACTCTTTGCCCCAGCTGGTAGCACACACACTGGTCAGAATGTGCTTTGCTGGGGTCACTACTGGCATTACGACACCACCTGCTTCTGCTAAATCTTACCAACAAATGGCCCCTTCTAAGGTTAGCAGATCCTTTTTTTTTTAAATAAATAAATAAAAAAACATATTAAATATTATATACTGAAACAAAATTATTTTCATTCATTAAGAAAGCTGTAAAAATCAAAGTAAAAAATAAAGTGAAATGATTCTGCTATATGTTTAGTTATTTATTGGCTTGGGTTGCTCTGTAGACCCTGTGTGTGTGTGTGTGTGTGTGTGTGTGTATACTCGCGCAAATGTATGTACATATGCAGCTACTTATATCTGTAGTTTGTAGTTGCTGTGTTGGCATTCTACAGAAACTTGTAGGAACTTCTGTTTGTTGGACTAACCATATTTTCACAGCTTCTAAACCACATCTTTTAACACAATTTGATGCGTAGGAAAGGCTGGGTTGGGATACTGTGGTTAAAACCACAGTGCAGACTGTAAACAATCTGCTTGTAAATATCAAAAGTAATTCTCTCATAAATATTTATTGGCAAATGATCGTACGTGATGCGCAAGTCTCACCACTTAGAGGGGAGAGGGAGGGAGAGAGACAAAAACAAATAGGTTGGAGAACAAGTATCACAAGTACCTTGTAGAGATGGTTTTGATTGTTATTGCAATAGGAAACCGAAGGTATTTATACTACATATGCTTGAATCTGAGTTGGTGAGGATATCCTATGGTATTTACATGCATCCTTACAATTGAAGATTTGGGCAGTTTTGCTTTAAAATGGAGCATGTCAGCTTGTCATGAGCCCATGGCAGGCTGGCTGACAGTCTGTGTGGCTATTACCACTCAGGGCAGACAATGCACAATGTCCTGCTAAATCTGAGGTGTATAGCACTCTGTTTACACAGTGCAGTGTGAGCATGTTTAATGTTGCACCTGCACTCCGCTGATTGCGGGCATTTCCCTGCCCAGGGCATGGTACAAAACCCCAAATTCAATGGCCCTCCCAAACCAAGAACAATTAGGAGGTATGGTTGTATCTCAAAATATGCACCTTATATTAGGATTTTTTTTTTTTTTTTTTTACTTTATTACTATTTTATACACTACCTTTTATTGTGTGTATGCATATAATTTACATGATCTGCCTGTTATCTGGTGGGCTTCCCATATTTTTAAATCCCCCAATTGCACAGTAAGACCTCACGCTGTGCAGTACAAACAGAGCATGTTTCGCAGTATGAATAACACTGAATTGTGAGACAATATAATGGCAACAAGCTGACCCCGTGCAGGTTACTCCTATTCATTTCCTAAGTGACCATCTCCTCATCTGTTTCAGCTTGCATGTCCTGAAGCAAAGTGTGTGTTTAGATTAGCATTCTATGACTGCTTTGGAGCAGTAAAAAGTATACATTTTATAAAAAATTTTATATACATATTATAAAATTATGGGAACGGCATGTCAAAGGAATATGCAACATTATTGCCATTGAGGTATTTGACATTGTATATGTTATTTATTATCAAGCATATATCAAGCTCTGTATTTTAGAAGCCTTGGTATGTTTTGAGGTATATTTTCTAATTCGATCTGTCCTGTCTCCACACCATTTTTTTTTTTTTTTTAAACTGTGATTTATAGCCATGTCTCTTATTTAATGCAATGGTAGTTTCAGCACACTGTAATTGAATGCTCCAAAAATAAATCTTAACACTGCATAGTCATCACTGGTGGAAATAACCTTTCAAGGGAATGCTTTGCACAATATTGATTAAGGAGCAAAAGTTCCATTGTAGAAAAATGACAAATTTGTATAAAACCGCATTTAATCAACCCTACATCCCAACAAGGCATAACATCGCGGACAGGTTATTCTATAAATAAAAACTGCCTGCGTATTTTATTCTAGCATTGTATTTTAACGATGGAATGTAAAGCACATTACAATATCCCATATACATACTTCATGTACCTTGTCAATAACCGCATGCTGCTGCATACAAAGTATACATTCTGTAGTAACTATGATTATATGCTCACCTCTCCTGACATTTACTTAATCATTAATGTATCATCATGACACATACCCAAAGTATACACCATACTATGCACTTTATGTATATTGCATGTCCTATCACATTACTCAAAGGCCTGGCTTGGTTTTAGGAAAGGAAGATTTTTTATTTTTTTTTTAGAATTTTTCTCATGTTTGCTGTCCAGCACACTGGTTGGAGAGATTTTGCAAGCTAGCCAACGCAAATTGTTCATTTGTATTATTTTATGCTGCTTAAAAGTACGGTAAATTATACCCTGAAAAATCTGTGCCTGTATTTTATTGGTTAAGGGTATATTTTGTAAAGTTACTGTGATATTAGGAGGTTTCATTGAGAATACTGTTTAAGTCCTGTGTGTCTAGGAATAATTTATGTATATAGTTTGGTAGTTTCGGGCATGACACGCATTTACATCTTTTTATTATTAATATTATTATATACGATTTGTTATTTTTAAAGGTGACATTCCACTTTGGAGAAAACACAACCTTGTGCTTTTTTAGCATTAAAATATAAGAGGATTATTTTTTTTGTTGTTCAAAAAGTTTTACTATTTAAAAAAAAGAAGAAAAAAATTAAAACCCTTTTTCGACTATGACAGTATTTGAATCCAAATTATCATTATTGTCCTTGTGTCACATGATCATAGGCTCAAAGTAATCTGCCCCTGGAAGGTCAAAATATTGGACACAGGTTTGTGGATCTCAGTGCTATATTTAATTATAAACATACTATATTCTGTAGAGAAGGTAAAACGGCACAAGCAGTATTATGGATGTATTGTAAAAATGTGTGTTTTCTGATTTTTGTATTTTTTTTATTTTTTTGCATGTATATGCTTTATGGTAAGTCTGCATAATTATGGAAACCGTCATCTCAACAGTACCTCTTCATTCTTTCCAGGCCGTTCCTCCCTGTTTCCCATTGATGATGGCTTATTGGACGATGGACATAATGACCAGGTTGGGGTTCTCAACTCGCCCAACTGCTACTCCGGACATCAGAATGGGGAGAGAATAGAGCGCTTTTCAAGAAAAGTATTTGTGGGTGGCCTTCCTCCTGATATAGATGAAGGTATGTTTCGAATAGTCTATACTTAGCAGTTTAAGTGTGCCTGGGAATAATGAGTTTAACTTGTATGTTGCCTAGTTTCAACCATTAGTCTCTGTGTTGAGAGAGTAATTATCAGGAAACCTTTTTTTAAAAAGTAATTTTGTAGCTCCTACTCCCCATTCCCCAAATACTGATCTGGTTCATGGTATTGGAACATTGCTCACACTTGGTTATCAGAATCTGGATTAAATCTAGAGAATATGGGACATACATTTCTACTGAGAAGAAAGGTAGATCTTTGGCTCTTCTTATGGGAAGGTGTCAAGGCTTTCCTGCTGCAAAATAAACACAGAAGAGATTATTGGAACTTCAAAAGCATAAAACATTATGCTTTCTTTTTATCCTTGAAAGGAAAATGGTTTCCTATAGCTTCATTGTTCTTGTGACAAAAGGAAAATGGCCTATTTCTTCTTGATATTATAACCCACTTAGCACTTCAGCAACCGTTTGAGTAGAATAAGCTACGAAATAAAAATAAATGTGACCATTTGTTTTGTCAGAAGGCATGGTCCACTGTTGGCTCACCTTTGCACTACGTTCTTCATGGTATTTGGTCAAGTGTAAGGCTGGCTATTTATCATGAGAAAGTCCATAAACATCTGGGTCCCAAGGAGAAACATCACTGGTATGGACGGTCTATGCACCTAAATGCTGTTGTAATGTTTATGAGGTTATTAAGCTTTGGGCACAAACCCACAGCTCTGGGTATAACCATTTTCAAATATATCTACCAGAACCAGTGTTCCCCAAGGTACCCACTAGCTGCCCTCTTCTCACATTTTCCTAAAGCAAAATTTCCACTTCCATTAGCAATATGAAAATTGGCCAGATCTGTATGGCATTAACAAGCTGAAGGCATCAAGGCTGAAATGGCTTGACCCAGAACTCAGAACTGGGAGATGGCTCTCATAGTCAAATAACATAACTGCTACAGTGACATGTAGTGGTTATGGTGCTTACGCTGCCCCTTTAATGCAAAGCAAGTACATGTGCAGTTCTGTCTGGAGTGCCAATACAGTAATCTTCAGTGTAGACCATGTCTTGGAGGGAGTGTTTGTAATTTCTTATGTGAAATGGACATCCTGGGAGGAAGTCCGGTTTTCTTTCTTTTTTTTTTTTTTTTTCGTGTCCCTTAAATGTTTCTTTATTTTTCTTGTTTCAGATGAGATCACTGCCAGTTTCCGACGATTCGGGCCTCTAGTGGTCGACTGGCCGCACAAAGCTGAAAGTAAATCCTATTTTCCGCCTAAAGGTAAATAACACCTGGTGCAGAGCAACGTGTAACTATCATTCAGTGTGTTTATGTTGTAAGAGAATGTCAGCTGATTGCTTGAGTTCAGGATCACTGGCATAGCAAACCTGGTGCATTTTATTCAAATGTCCTTTTTAAATGCAGGTTTTGTGCTAGTTTAAATGTGCGATGTGGTCTTTAGTTCTGTTTCCCAGGAAAGGCTTAATTTCCTGCTGTTTTACGGACTCACAGGCCTATTAGAAAATGTTTTTATTGGAACCCTGGGGTGCAGCACTATATATCCCATGGCTATCTTCGTTAAACCATCTATCTGTACACCGCAATCTGCACAAAAAATAATCTATCCCTTCTGCACCCCATGTAAAGGTACCAGTAATAAGTTACCTGCAGAAGCTACGTTGTTGCTATATTTTTTCCTTCTCCTGTTGTGTGAGTGTAGGCATAGGAGGGGCACAGAAGAATTTTCAGCATTATTCAATTGCAAGTTTGCAGTTAGTGTTAATCAGAGTATGAAAATCACAAACAATTAAAATGCATGCACTTTTTATGCAGCGCATCTAAAAAAAATGCTTGGATTTATCACTTGCTTATAAAATGCCTCTTAACATAAAAAAAACAAAGTATGATCTAGGTCACATTGAAATATGCAATTTGTTATTTTGGTCAAATTAATTGCATTTCTGGGCAGTTGGTTTGCTTGTGCTTAGCTGTAATTGTCAGTAAATCTGTTACCTCTGTGTGTGTCTTTTCCGCTATCTACCATTCTACTTATTACTTTTTATTTTCTTTCTGTTTGTGTATGGTCTGGGACACATTGTGTATCCTGATTTATATTGACAAAAGGCACTCAGCCTCATACATATGAAAGCCAGCATGCATATAGTGCTCGGGAAGAATAAATGGCAGTTTCTTAAAACTGAATAAATGCAGTTACATACAGTTATTTATTAAAGTGTAAATTGTTAGGAATGCAAAGTAGATTTCGAATTTGAGGCAAAAATAGTGGTTGCGTTTTCAGTTTGGGTGTTGTGGCCTTAATTTTGAAGTTCAGGTTAATTTACAGCCATCCACTTTCTACTGAAAACCCTGACTGATTTGCTGCCTTGCTACATAGAATGTTTATTTTCATTTACCATATTATATTGCCTATATACACTATAGTCACAAGAACAAATACAGCTTAATGTAGTAGTTCTAATGTCGTTAGCATTTCCCTGCAGGATTTTCAATGTAAATGCAGTTTTTTCACTCAGACGGCCACTATAGGTGCCTCCTGTGTCAGTGCTGCACACTCTGGCGTTGAGCATTTCAACACCCTGCATGGAGATGCTGAATGTTCCCCAAAGAAATGCATTGATTCAATGTATTTCTACAAGGAGATGCTGATTGGAACAGCTCAGGGTTTTGCCCCGCATGTGCAATACTCTCTAAATGTTTTCCTATGAGAAAGCATTACGATTTGCCGCGATGATCTCTGCTACGGAGGCGGGTCCGGCCATGACGAGACTGGCGCAGCTCGGAAGAAAAGGTGAGTAAGATCACCTTTTCAGAGCTCTCACAGTCTGGCTTGGGACCTACATTTCCACACAGGCACTATAATGTCAGGAGTACATGTTTGGACGTCTGCTGCACATTTACATTTCCCTTTAACTTTTTTTTACTTTGAGATCCAGTTCAGCAGGTTTTAAAACATGTTTAATACTTTTCTTGTGGACATGTTTAAAACTTATTAGAAAACACACAAAATAAGCATTTTAACCGTGCATATCATATGAATTTTATTACATATTATGGTGTCATTACCTTTATTCTATAAACTCTTGTACCATTAAAAAGAAAATATTGATAGAATTGTACATTGATTAAAGACTACATTAACATTCCATAATGCAACGTTGTCTTCTAGTGGAATGATCTGTACAGCTATCCGATCTGATTATACATCAACTGTCCTAAATTAGGGCAGTTATTAATCCTGGGGCAGTTGGGGGAATTAATGCAGAGAAGCAAAATATTTAATACCCATGAATCATGTTGGGGGGGGGTAGGGAGACTCTCGGACCAGCCTGTTTAGTTTGATTCTCACCAGTGGTGGTAGCATTTCACAAGTCATCCGTTTCATTCAGAAAGGTTAACACCTGTGTTTTTTTGTACTGCTGCTGTGATTGTGCCACAGAATCTTGATAATCCCTGCAAAGCTTGGAAAACCTATAGCTTGCTGGCTTATTGCTTTTTTTCAGCTTTGGCTTAAAGATAGCTCATATGGTTCCTCTTTCCACATTGCTGTCTCATGAAAGCTGGAGACTTGCCAAATTAAGACAAGGTCCCTTACAAGCCCAGGCCAATGCACTCAAGCATGCCAGTTTAAAGTAGATAAAATGCATGTCTTGGACTAGAGCAACATACATGGGCAGATCATGATTTTACTTAAAGGAACACTATAGTCACCTAAATTACTTTAGCTAATAAAGCAGTTTTAGTGTATAGATCATTCCCCTGCAATTTCACTGCTCAATTCACTGCCATTTAGGATTTAAATCACTTTGTTTCTGTTTATGCAGCCCTAGCCACAACTCCCCTGGCTATGATTGACAGAGCCTGCATAAAAAAAAAAAAAAAACTGGTTTTACTTTCAAACAGATGTAATTTACCTTAAATAATTGTATCTCAATCTCTAAATTGAACTTTAATCACATACAGGAGGCTCTTGCAGGGTCTAGCAAGCTATTAACATAGCAGGGGATAAGAAAATCTTAATTAAACAGAACTTGCAATAAAGAATGCCTAAATAGAGCTCTCTTTACAGGAAGTGTTTATGGATGGCTGTGAAAGTCACATGCAGGGAGGTGTGACTAGGGTTCATAAACAAAGGGATTTAACTCCTAAATGGCAGAGTATTGAGCAGTGAGGCTGCAGGGGCATGTTCTATACACCAAAACTGCATCATTAAGCTAAAGTTGTTCAGGTGACTATAGTGTCCCTTTAAGGACTTTAACTAAAATGCATAATTCAGGGCATTATTTCAGCCGTGGCAAACCTGAAGTATGTAATTTATATAAATATTTGTGGTTTTATGTATACGTACAAAGTAGAGATGATGCATGCAAGATCTGACACTTAGGATAAATATTTCTATAACTTCTTTGTCATACAGGATTCTGATACTTAGTAAGATGGTTTCACCATTAAAGGAACACTATAGAGTTAAGAATACAAATCTGTATTTGTAACGGATCCCCTATACTCTGACTGAGTATCTCCGTTAGAAGTCTCCTAAATCACAAGCGAAGCAGTGATTAATGCTCTTGGTTACCCAAACATCAGCCGAGACTTGATGATGGGTACAACAGTATCTGTTTATTGAAGGCCAGATACACAGTATTAATGCATCTCCATCCACAGTAATGTAAAACATGAGCCCGCCTCAGCGTCGCTGAGTCTGGGAGATAATGGTATCTCACAGACACACAAAAACCCACAAAATACACAGAACACCGTAATCCCCACATGCCCCCCACATGCTACCTGGGTAGCTCTTGGTCCGAGCTATGCTCCTTGCAAATATTGGAGCAATCGGATGTACAGAGCCAGAGAAATCATGTTGTAAAGTCTGGGCTCAAGGCTCTGTTAATACTTGAAAATAGTTTGATAAGATCACTTGGTTTAGGCCGGTGGATTCAAGGGCGCGAACCCACAGTGGTCAGTCAGGGCTCAGGGAGGGGGACGGGTTATAAGGTATGCCCTTTTCCTCGTGCTGACCAATCAGGGGAAAGGACGCGAACTAGGTTTGCATGCAGCGATCAATCCGCATTCAGGGAGGGGAGGTGTTTCACCGGCCAATCGGGAGAAAGGACACACAACTAATTTGAATGGTAGCGCTTCTCCTATTGGTTGGCACAGTCTTCAGGTGGCCAGCAGGGCTCTGCAGCTGTGAAGCCACCTCCCAGTTCCAGAGCATCGGCTAGGGCTCGCTTCTCTCCCTGGTGGATGTCTCCACATGGGTAGCACCAGGGAGAGCGCTCTTTGGGGTAGGCAAGCCCATGGGGCTGGACAAGGGGATGACGGGGAGCGGGAAACCAGACTGGGAACACGGAATGGTGGGAACGTGAGGGCTGCACTCTTTTTTTTTGAGACCTACAGTTAGTTAAAGTATTCCTAATGTTATAGTGTCGCTGGTAGTCATGTAACCCAATTCGGCATTAAAAGGGTTATACACCTGTCTTTTTCTTATCTTGTTCCAGTGCCCAGGCTCCCTTAGCACAGCTTAGCTCTGCTGCCCCAGCGATGTCACATTTGAGGCATGGCCTCTCCCACAATGGTCTATTCCAGTGTTCTTCATACAGTACCTAATGCACATGTGTGTTGAGCGCATCGCCATGAATCAATGAGATTGGATATTGTGATTCTGCCTTTCTCGTCAGTGTTTTTTTGTTTTTGTTTTTTTAGGTTTGCAGCAGTAACATTGTAGAATTTTAATTAATGTGCCTCTTTTGTTTTTTCTTCTATAACTCTTTTTTGCTGTAGGTTATGCATTTCTTCTTTTCCAAGAGGAAAGCTCTGTTCAAGCACTGATTGATGCTTGCATCGAAGAAGAAGGCAAACTGTATCTCTGTGTTTCTAGCCCTACCATCAAGGACAAGCCCGTAAGTAAACATTCTCTCCGGGAAAATTTATATTAAAAAAGAAATGTAAATATGAGTAAAACCATTATTTGCCCTGGAGATTCAAAGGTTCTAGAATCTCACCTAGCATGTTTATTTAAAGCACAGTACATTGAATATTTGTGGACTTTTTTTTTATTTTTAATTTTCTTTTCACTTCACGGAAACTCCCTGAAACTATTTCAACTTGGGGCGGGGGCTTTGACAAAAAATATGCTTTTGTGACCTTTTTTTTTCCTTTAAAATTAAATTAAAATCTTGTTTAATGACCTAGATATGATATATCATTGTCTCTTTAAATGGCTGTATTATAGTAACTCTAACCGTGTCAGGGATAAGTGAATGTTACTTATTCTGCAATATCTATTCGCTTTTACTTGGACTGTCGCGGTGGGATAGTTATCAGAAATTATGCAGTGTTGGGCTTGAAGATTGAAATGTTTTATTCCTGTCTGGTGTAGGTTCAGATTCGTCCCTGGAACCTGAGTGACAGTGACTTTGTCATGGATGGATCCCAGCCACTTGATCCTCGGAAAACTATCTTTGTTGGAGGAGTTCCACGTCCCCTGAGAGCAGGTAAGTGCTTGTCCAGCTCAATCAACATTTATAGCTGTAATGCCCTCCTGTGTTTCAATGTGTTAATACCCCTGAAGCCTGAGAAGCGGTCATTCAGAGCTTAGCTGGTGGGAATCAGACATACTTTTGATAACATTTGGACTGTTGATATCATACTTAATCACCCCCTAAATCGACTAAATGAAGGATACAAGCACTATAACCACTATAGCAGAGTGTAGTGATTATGCCAGGAATGCCTTGACGCCCCCCAATATAAGTATTTTAAACAGTTTTCTGGCAGCATTATTTCTTTCCTGCAGTCTGCTGGGCACCTCTTCTTGGCCCTTAACTTCTAGTCCGAGAGCTAGAAGCTCCTACAATGAGCTTCCGTTAGCTCTCTTTAGCAAAGTTGTTTCATTGGCTGAGAGCATTAGCTCAGTCAGAGAGTTTCTGGGTTTTATGGTGATAGGTAGTTGATCCTTGCAGAAGTCAAAGTATTGGAAAATGGTTTGAATAATTACTTTGAGGCGGGTGGCACCAGTGCACTCCTAGCACCATGCCGAGTTAAGGTATTTGGTAGACTGCAGAAGTTTTTTGTTGTGTTTCTAATTAAATCACTGCCCCAGTCATTTACAGATTTATTCATTGGCTACATCAAATAAAGCATTATTTGTATTTGCAATAATAAACAGTCTTTCTTCAGATAGTTTTAACAGCTGGTTTCCTATTCCTCAAGTTATTTCTATTCCCTTGGACTTGTAAAATGTTCCACTTGTACTTATTGTTGTTGGAACATCTTCCTTTGGTTTCCATCTCATTTTGTTTGAGTTCTGAAGTTCCGTTTTTGTTTCCTTTGCAGTGGAGTTGGCCATGATCATGGATCGTCTCTACGGAGGAGTCTGTTATGCAGGAATTGATACTGATCCTGAGCTGAAGTACCCGAAAGGAGCTGGACGCGTTGCATTTTCCAATCAGCAAAGTTATATCGCAGCTATCAGCGCTCGATTCGTTCAGCTTCAGCATGGTGACATAGACAAAAGAGTAGGTTCTACCACGAAAAAAAACCTGAAACATGCAAAGTTTATTAATATAGTTGTTTATTATATACACACGGTAATATGCATACAATACTATTCTCATTTCTACTGTTCTTTAATTAACTTTCACTACTTCAATGCTTAACATGCTTATAATAAACTAGCAAGAACCTGTAGTTTAAAATTAAAAAATAACATGCGTATATCAACTTATTTACTTATTTTAGGTAGAGGTGAAGCCATACGTGTTGGATGATCAGATGTGCGATGAGTGCCAGGGAGCTCGCTGCAGTGGAAAATTTGCTCCATTTTTCTGTGCCAATGTCACGTGCCTGCAGTATTATTGTGAGTTTTGCTGGGCTAACATCCACTCTCGCGCCGGACGGGAATTCCACAAGCCATTGGTGAAGGAAGGCGCCGACCGGCCACGTCAGATCCACTTCCGCTGGAACTAGACCTAGATACTCCCACCACTCACTGAGAAAAGGGTGCATGCGGCTTACTGTGTTTATAGATTCTGACATGCAGAAGAAATAAGTGCATCCTTCTGCTTTTCACCCCCAACCCTCAATACATGCATCTGTATCAGCAGCCAAAACACTACAAGCCTCTTGTGTTTCACCAAAACCCTACATCTCAGGCCTACTAATTTTTTGTGATACTTTCATGTTAAATATTTTTCTTTTTATATATAGCTATATATAAATATATTATTTTTCTTTTTTTTCTTTCAAATTTCCTTTTATATGTAATGCTAAAAATAATGGATATGGCGATGTTTTTGCTTAGGGGCAACACAGTCTGCTGCTAAATATGTATGTGTGTGTGTATATGTATGTATGTATATATCCATGCATATATATATATAAATATTATACATACATATTATTTATATATGGGTGAAGTGTGCACTTATTTCTACAGATGGGTTTTTAACGTAAAGATCTGCCCCAGTAATTTACCAAAGGTAGCAAAATTAATAGTGAAAATGGAATATGTCTGCTACTAAAAGCCTATTTTTTATTGTTGCTATTTTAAGTGTGTATGTAATCTTAAAAGAAAAAAAAAATAGGGTTGATTTTTAATTTTTTATTTTTTTTGCTCTCCATTTTGACTTGCAAGAAATAATACCTCAAGATAATCTGATTTTATTAGCTATTTTTAAACATTTTTAATCATAAGCTGTATTAGCTTTGCTGCTATATAGGTGTTGTGCGTAATACCACCTATTTATACAGGATTGAAACGTTTCGAAAAACTGCATTGCAAATGAATGCAGGCAGCACAATATGGTAGAAAACTGCCATAGTTTAGAATGTGAAAAAAATGCATGTTTACCTACCCTTGTACACCATATGCATGCATTAGAACTACCAACTACCCACAGATACGGTATTGCAGATATTAAATAAATTTTAAAAAAATAATAAAAAAAATAAATCTCTCGAAACTAGGTACAGTAGCATGATAAAAATTACAATGTTTTGTTACAAAAAGCATATTTGCATGACTTATTGTGACTCAAGTAAAATGTCCTTACATGTGTACAATATGCAAAATAGTTTTAGAGTAGTAAGTGCAGCCATTTTGTGTCCTGGTCGATAGTAGACTTCAGTTTATAAGAAGTGGATGTCATTTTATAATCCCTGTGCAATAGTCGTGGTGTGCGGTTCTGATTATTGTGGCGTAAAGTAGCGAAAATAAAACTGGGAAGAAAAAAAAAAAGAAAAAAAATATATATAATCTTGTTTTAACAAGCATTGATTTAGTGCCCCCAAATTTAAAATGTCTTGGTTAAATATTCTTTAAAAACCAAAGATGGCTAGCACATGTTAATCAGTCACCAAATGTATAACCCACAAGCTAATTATTAAAACATAATAGTTAAGTAAAAAAAAATGCTTTAGTATAAAATAATTTAAGTCAAAATGGAGATGGTATGATACAGACGGCTAGTTGCATAACAATTACCCTCTACCTTCAAGACAACAGTGACATTTGGCTTGAACTTTTTTTGATAAACACTTGTTTTCTTTTTGATTACCTATTTTTCTATATATATAATTAAGCAACATAGCTGCTAAATAATGGTTGCAGGTTCTGTTTTGTTCTATTTTTGTTTTTTTATTAAATATTTGTAATATATATATTTTTAAAAAAGGCCAATAGTGAATTAACAGCAATGGTTTGGGTTAATACATTTTTTTCTAATTTTTTTTTTTTAATAAATTCCCTAAGGACCAAGAATGGTCTATTTTTGCAGACCTGTGGAATGTCCTACTCCGTTAGTAACACCAGGGTTCTATAAAAGTGATAAATTAAAAATACGAAAGACATTCCATTTTGGAACTAGAGGCTGCATGGCCTACATAGTCATGACCTCAAACAAAGCAATTGGTCCTTAAGGGTTAAGTAAAACATGAAATATATGTAAGTCATGGGGTTATGCAACTAGCCCAGAAACAAATGTCCTTTAATTGAAAAAAAAGTTATATTCTAATAAATCCAAAAATATACAGATTGCTGGAGAGAGAAGGAAAAAAAAATCACAAAGGGTATCCCTATGCCCTTGGGACAATCTTCTGTGTACGAAACGTAATGTTTTTTATTGGTTGTCAACAGCGTGCTTCTTTGTACTGTACGATGTGATTCCTGTCTCACTTTGCAGTTTTATTGTGGTCGTAGTTCATGTTTTAAATGTTTGAAATTGATATTCTAAGGAGTGCTTCTTTCTAATTTATTTGTCAATGTCTCTTTACCTGTTCTTAACAAGATTTACTCCTTTTTTTTCCCCCCTGGATCTTTATCATTAATAATATTTTGTCAATATCCACCCTGCCTGATCTGAAACACTTACAACTTTGTTATGCACTATATTTTATAACCGAGAGAAAACATTGACAGTCAGCTATTTTGAGCATGCTTGTTTCAATTAACATCTTTTTGCTATACCTCAATTTTTATTTAATATTTTTTTACCCCCAAAAAAAAAAAAAAATTGGCTTGCCATTATATTTGTTAAAACTGAAGAACAAGAAATGCATTAAAAAAAATAAGATATCTGGAGGAAAATTATCCCTTTTTACCAATATTTAAAAAGAAAATAATAAAGATAAGAATCACACGTGAAAAAAATGACCCTATATGGAAAAGGGAGAGTGGCAGAAAGATGATAATATATAAATATATTTTACACTTTTATTTTTCAATTGTCATTTCACGTCTCTACAGAGCAGTCAATGCTTCTTGTTCTGATCCTGCTTTTTTGTGTGTATTTGTGTGTGTTTAGTAATTTCTTATTTTCTAATTGTTGAACACTGTATTGGATTTTTTATAAATCATATTTATTTTACTATTTTTGTAGAAGATTGCTAGTTGATTTTGATTGTATTTTTATATTTTTAAAGCTTCACTTTTGTTCCCCGGTGTGCATATTGCTGCCCAAGGGTGTGACTATGGAGGAAAACAAAAAAACTTTAAAATCCACACTTTTTGTTAAGAAGGAAACATTTAGCATTTATATATTTGTGTATGGACAACACTTGATATTGTATCCCTGTTGCATCTGGCTGCACATAGCCTCTCCTCAAAGATGCTAGAAAACTTGAATATAACACATTTTGGAAGGCTGACTAACCTCGATTCTGTGTTGTGATGTGCAATACTGTTTCTAATATTTGTATAAAAAAAGTGTAAACCTTTTTAATGCAAATTTATTTTTTTCATTGCATATTTTGCAGATTTTATCCACAGTGTCATTTTTTACTGTCAGAAAAGATAACCCCTTTTGTCATTGCAACTATTTTTTAAATCCAGAAATCTTTGTACTGATGTAAATGATTGTAGTTATTTTGGATAGTGTTTTGCTAACAAAAGGAGAGACTTTTTTCATGCATATTTCTATTTTGTTTGTTTGTTTTTGTTTTTTATTATTTTTTTTATTTGATTTTTGTTTTTAGAACTAATTCTTGTCATTAATATAATTTTGTATTTTTATGTGGGAAAAATATAATTTTATGACGCTAATTGCTATAAATTTTATTTTGAATTATTTTTTTGAGCTGAAATCTTTGTACTATTAAAGCAACTAGTTTCTAATTCAGAGTTTCTGCGGAGAATGGCACAAGTGGCTTATTGAGTGTTTGGATTGTAATTATTAAAGGTTCTTTGATATGCAAATTATTTAGTTTTATTTTATATATATTTTTTTTAATTAAAGCTGTTTTTTTCTATATAAGCAAGAGCCCGTGCTTTATAAGGACACTAGGTGAATGCCTTCAGCTTGAATTTTTGTTTTTTATTTTTAAAATATTTTAGTTTAAATTTTACTGTTCTCTTCCAGGTGTCTAAATCTCCAGTCTGTCTGTTGTACTGGTAATTTAACTCTGTAATGAAATAGTTTGCTGCCAACTATTTATATTAAGTAATTTTTAAATATTTGTAATATTGTTGACCGACTAATAAACTTAAGTTATTGGCATGTGGTTTTGTTGGTTTATTGAATTAATTTCTTGTTAAGGCTCAAGTTGATAAATAAAATGAGCTCTTGGGGGTCTTTGCATATTTTGACAAGACCAATGGTTACATCCCCAGTTGTGTGACACCCCAAGCATGCAAGTGAAGGTAGATCTACTTAAAGCTGCCCCCTATTAGGTGCCACGTCCATGCTGTTCTCTTGCAAAAGAGTACAAACCTAAGGTACAAGAATGTAGGACCCTCTGTAGACCAAATCTCACAATCCTCGAGTCAATAAAGCATCCACTATTCTGAAATACTAAACAGTGACAGCGCTGCTTTAAATGACTCACGGTGTAAAATAAGGATCAACTATCAATATTGTTCTATTTACTTTTCACATCTGGGTGAACAACTGTATCTTGCTTTGTCGTGGTCTATAAGATAAATTACGTTGCATACATTGTAGCCTATCAAAATACCAGCTACGTTGCAATGCCTAGAGCCATTAGTTATAAGATATGTTGTGTTTTTTTAACTTCCTCTTCCAGTCTCCTCTAATGACCTGATGTAAAGTAAAATGCCCTGTGAAATTCTGGCCCTGCTCTAAGCAGTTCATGTCAGGCTGATGCCAACTTTTAAATCAGTTGGGCTAACTACTTACTGTGTGTAGCATACTTGGCAAACTCAGCAGCTCGGAATACAGGGAGGAGAATTTAATTCTATGAATATGAACGTATAACATGTGACAACATTACAAAGTGTGGCTCTCGTTTTCAAATGAATTGTAAATTCACCAAAACGTCTGATAAATGAATCCCTGACTTTTAGCTACACACAGAACAGATTGTGCTTGTAATCACAGGGAGGGAAAAAACATCTGCCTTTCAAGCAGTTTGCCTTCTCTGGCTTACTGTCCGAAAAGGTATGATATATTATCCTAAACTGAATTCCTGGTTCTTTAGCAAAGATTCACATCTGGTTAATTTATGACACCTAGCATTGTAAGAAATAAAAAAAAGAGGAAAGTCTTTGTTAAAAGAAAGGGGTAATTTTAACTACATATCACTACACTGAATGGTCCCAGCATGTCTCACTGCTTCCATTTAAATTGTTGGCGTCCGTGCCATCTATTATCATATACTAAAAGGGATATTTGCTAAAGAGAGAAATGTCGGGAATTCAAAATGGATTTCAAAGACCAAAATAGCTGAATTACAAAACAAAATCTGTAATTATTATTTTATTACTTATATAGCGCCAACAAATTTCCGTAGCGCTGTACAATGGGTGGACTAACAAACATGTAGTTGTAACCAGACAATTTGGACACACAAGAACAGAGGTGTTGAGGGTCCTGCTCAATGAGCTTACATGCTAGAGGGAGTGGGGTATAGTGACACAAAGGGTATAAGTAGGAGTAATGAAATAGGCTGCTAGAAAAGTATTCACTGGGAACCTAGTAGGTTATTTTTGACAGCTGCAGAAGAGGAGGTGGGGGGGGGGGGGCAATGAAAATCCGCTAACATTTTAAATGATATGCTTCCTGAAGAAGTGTGTTTTCAAAGAATTATATTTTTTTAAGGAGTGGAGACTGGGTGACAGTCTAACGGAGAAGGGAGTTCCAGAGAAAAGGTGCAGCCCCGGAGAAGTCTTGGAGACGAGCATTAGATGTGGGAGTACGGACAGAGGATAGACGTAGGTCAGGGCTGTCCAACATGCGGCCCCTCAGAAGTGGCTGAACTACAACTCCCATGATTACCTGGCTATCTTTTTAATTGAAAGAATCATGGGAGTTGTAGTTCAGCAACATCTGGGGGGGGGGCGTAGGTTGGACAGCCCTGATATAGGTCTTCGACAGAGAGCAACTATGCTTCCATTTTAGCTGTTTTAGTCTATCATACACTTTAAATTTCTTTGAATTCTCACTTTAGTAAATAACAAGTAATTGATATACTGAACATAATAGATAAAAGAGGTGAAGATAGTCTTATGCCAGCTAAAGAGTGCTTTTATGTCTTACACATTTCTTACCTATAATGTGATCCTATCATTCATTTTAACTGAAGTTGGAAACCATTTGTGAAACTAGCAGTGCCGTCCACTATCTGCTTCCAGTGAATCAAGAGTCAAATTAACCATTTAGAGAGAGTGCCTCCCATGCGATGGGATGTACATGTGACCTCCTGCAAACTGTACTGGACCATGTTTACTGCACAATTTTAAGAAAAGACGGCGTGTATGCAGGGAGGGAGCCCAGGAGAAAAAAGAATCACCACCTATCTCCTCTTCCGGAATCGGGAGAGTTTTATTCAATGAGACATCTTATAGCAACCTTTATTTTTTTTTTGTCCCTCTTTCTTTTATTATGGCATTTGAGTCACACGGTACAGAATAAAGGGAGGAGTTGTTGCAAGGTAATACAAAATAAAGGGTATCGGCGTGATTTGCGGTACACTCCCAAGAAAGACTGCCATTTTTTTTTTATAATTAACTATAATCACACAAGCTAGACTTAAATGTAGTGTAAGAATATTAAAAGATTACTTAAACTGCGCTTGTCTTTATACAAATATTGAAAACGAATCATGCTAAATGTTAAAACAAACTAGTACGGTTAGACATACTGGTATACTGCGTAAATAAGAACATGCTAAACTGTTGTGTCATGGTTATGTACAGACGTAGAAAAGTTAATGCCTAATGTAAAATGGTGAAATCCCAGTTAGCTTATATACTTTTATATAATCCGTCTCAATATTTATAGTGTAAATAAATCATACTAGTCTAACTAGGCACAATAAGCTATACCAAATAATAATGTGTAACAAATAGCAGGTAGTTCTGCACAATTTAAAGTGTAGATTGAAAGGGTGAGATTTATACTGCACAATTTAAATGACAAAGTAGGCAATATGATTGCGTACTCTATGTACTGTGAATTAGTATTGTACTGCGTTGAGTGAGTCGGTATAGGCAGGATTAAATGTCAGGAATATTATGTGTTATATAAAGAGAAAAAGGGTGTATGAGATCAGGCAAAGTTAGGCTGATAAACAAGCTGTGGATCTTAGAATCCGCTTAATAACATGCTAAGTTATCCACCATCTCCCTGAGGCCAGACAGAATTACACTATGCAAAAAGAGCATGGCTACCAGGTAGGAGCTCAACAGAGCGAATCAGCTTGGACTGTTCAGATTGTGTCCCAAAAGGTTCTCGGCTGGGAGTGTTGTCTAGCGGGAATGTGGGATAGAGAATCAACAGTCAGCCGATTCCTCTGCTGGGTAGCGCGGCACCTTGGGCCGGGAGAGTCCACAGAAGGGCAGTGAGATGCGGGTATATAAAGGCCGCCCTCCAGCCCCAGGTCGGTATGAAGGCCAGCACCTGCGGTCCACAGACTCTGTATTTTGGTGAGGCTGGGTCTTCCCTCTGTTGGGCGCCATGGAAAGCTTGGATGTTTTGCCGCCGCCAGCGATGGTCATGCGGTGTGGTCGGTGCCGTGGAGACTTTCTCCGTGTGCCCTTCAGCCTGGGAAGGCGTTTAGGACGGTCAGCGTCAGCTGCTCTATGGGGTTCGCTGTGTGGAGACCTCCCCCATCTCCTTTCTTCGACCCCCTGTACCACTCTCTCAGGATTAGGCTGTTCCTGACTGCTGCGTTGCTCCAATTGCTCCCAAAACCTTTGGAAGATTCTGTCAAGTTGCTCCATATAGTGCTCCACTGGGTTAATGCCATGGCCGTCATGCTGTATTAGCGCGGGCTTCTGCCACTGGGATGCGGACCCCATTTTGTGTGGCCTTCTGGCCGTGTCGCTCAGGCTGTAGGGTGTTGCCGGGGCTTGTATAGCAGTTTCCCCTGGGGTGGTGGGGACCGGGATAACCACCACCGGTCCAAAGGGGGGGAACCAGGGGCCCTTGCTGAAGTTGTGGCGCGGTGTGGCCATGAGAGAGCGGCCGTCTCTCCCGTGGCTCCCCTGCTTGTCACGCTGCGGACCAGGCCGCACTGCTGGGCTCCAGTTTCTGCAGGTGGAAATTCAGGATTCGGGCAACGTTTTGTGTCGCTTCGATTACCGGTCAGCCCCCCGTATCAGATAGTGGTAAATCACTGTTAGGACTTAGATTGTGCCCACTGCCACTGCAGCTATTAGCAAGTGCATCCGGCCATCTTGGCTGTCAGGCCCCGCCCCCCAGCAACCATTATTTTGTCTAATTTGCCTTTAAATATATTAACCTCTTTTTTTTTTTTTTTTTTTTATAATAGTTACTATATTTTAGCTTGATTACTTTCTTTTCTTTAAATGGTTTAAAAAAAACAAAATTGACTTAAATTGACTTGTTTAGTCTCCTTGCTCTATGTTTTATAGCTTGCCTTTTCGTGTCCTATGTTTGGTTGGCAAATTTTCTTTGGTAGAAACAAAAATTATGGTTGCTTCTGAGCTTGATTTTTTAAAAATTATTATTTTATTATTTACATAGCGCCAGCAAATTCCATAGCGCTGTACCATGGGTTTTTATCAACTTCTTCCAAAACATTAAAAAAATTTCACCTTAAGTTCTGCCTGTAATGTTTTTCCATGTAGTTAAATAACGACTTGTGATAGATGGAACAGGTCACAGTCAATTAGTCAATTGGTTTTGTATCTGGAATTAGTTTAGTATTGCTAGTGCAGTTTTCCTACAATATTGTACTGCTGCTGGTTAAAGGGACACTCCAAACCACAGTCACCTGTACAGCACCCTACATTAGGTGGTGTTCACCCAGAGAAAATGACCAGCCAAACTTTATTTAAAAATTACTAATCACAAATAAGTAAACACAATCTCTGCAGGTTTAAGCACATCCTCAGTTTAATGAAGAACGTAAGGCATTTGCAATACCTAAACAAATCGCAACTGCCCTTTAAATGCTTTCTCATACTCATTCTCTCATTTCTAGTTTTCTGACTAACTCGCTTTTTTATTGAAGAAAAAAAAATAGCAGATGATTAGCAAGTCATTTTTTTTTTCACCCCACAAATTCCCAGCCGCTTCCCAATCCTCGGACAAGCTGCACAATTTAAGCAAACGAGGAAAATTAAGAGGCAAGGTTTTTACATTTTTTTTATTTATCTTTATTATATATTAAATGGGCACTATAGGCCACCAGACCACATCATCTGACTGAAGTGGCCTGGGTGCGCTGTCCCCTTAACCCAGTGGTTTCCAAACCAATCTTCAAGGCACGCCCTACCAGTCGAGCATTTAGGGATTGAGCAGTTATGTCAAGGTGTATTTTTATTTTAGACACAACTAGTTAATCCCTAAATCCTGGACTGGTTTGGAAACCACTATCTTAACCCTTCAAGTGAAGACATTGCAGTTTTAGACAAACTGCATATTTATAAGGCGTTGTTAAGACAGCCACTAGAGGCGCTGCCTGCTGTTTCACAGAGTGTTATTCTGTGAAAGGACAATGGACGTCTTCACGCATTGCACAAATACATCCAGCATCTTCTAAATCCCCATTGATTCAATACGTTCCCGTGGGGAAGGTCTAAGGCTTGTGCATGTGCATTAGATTCACCCTGGTGATGGTGTCAGAGGAGGCGGAAACCGACTCAGTGCTGGAATATGGCGAGTGTTTAATTTAAAGGATCATTTAACCCTTTGAGTGCCGGGCAGTGCAAGGGCATAGGAACACTATACTGTCCATTACTTTGAAATAAATAGGTAGGATAAACTACCAGCCTATACTGCTATTTTACATTCATTTATTTTTTTATTACATTTGACATTCGCCCCAATATCACTCCCAAAGGTATCATACCAAACATTCTGTCACTTCTCATTTTTTGCCACTTACATGAACGATTTTGACTCACGGCAATGAATGACGTCATTTGTATGGATTTTTTGACAGTTGCTAAACTGGCTATGCACTGCTAGTGATACGCTGTAAAAATTCTTTGTAACTTAGTTAATGCGGGCAAAAGGCACAGATCCATAAAGCTCAACACATATCTCTGTTGCTAGTAGCAAATGAAGGCAAAAAGCCAACATTGAGGTACTTCCAGTTTTACAACAATCAAAGCTATTTTTCTTCTTTAATCAGAATTAATGTTTATCCCCGAATCTAAAAAAAAATAATTTGTATAAATACTTAACATTTATAGCACAGCCCCGGTGTGTGTTTTTTTTTATAATTTTTTATTTTATTTCACGTGTTAACCGGTGAATGTCAGTTTTGACTTTCATTTAAAATCAATAAAGACATACCCCACAACAAAGATCACCTACAGGGTTACTCCCTAGAGTTAAAATACAAAGTGAATTTCTAAGTCAGATATGCTTCTAGTAGGATTACTACAGCCTTACATTTAAAATTAAAGAACCCTACAAACATGTATTCCTAACCCTATAAAGCTGGAGTACAGTTAAATCACGTTTTTTATTTTTATTTTAAAGCAGTGTAGGCCATAAAAATTCCAAATAACAGAAATATTTAGAGAGCACATGAAAATACGGTATAGAGTCACACGATTGTCGTTTTTCATTAAGCAGTGTATAAGTAATATCTAAACAGGTGTGGTATTTATCACATCTATGGATTCTCCTGTGACTATGACAAAGGTTACCAATAGAGGTATCCCCATTGACTTATACACGAACAAGGTAACATCTGCCAATTATATCTTTACCAAAAACAGTTAATTTATTGCTGGTCATTTAAGTAAACAATTTAAAGAGACACTATAGTCACTAGAACAACTACAGCTTATTGAATTTGTTCTGGTGAGTAGAATCATTACCTTCTAATCATTAGTCTAACAGCATACAGAGTTACAGCTTCAGGCTTAAATACAGTAAGATTTTTACTA